TTTTTTTTTTGTAATTATATATCATTAATTTGTATGAACCAACTAAATATTACAAAAATTTATCTAATTTTTTTTTGTAAACAACCTTTACATTTATGTTTGAAACAATATCTTCTCTATTATATATTAGAATCTTAAGACTTTTTTTATTTTTGACTTTAGAGGTAGCCACATATAATTATCCATGGCAAAAATCAGACTTTGGCAAATATAAACCAATATTAGACAAAGTTTGACTTTAACTTTTATATATGGTCATTATTGCAAAACTTACTGCAATTAGAAACTATTTCTTACATGCACATCATCCCTGCAAGCTTCCTTCGAATCTTCAATCGCATTAACTCTTCCCATGACATCTAAATGGTATTAAAGTAATTATCAATGGCCCCACAAAAGTATATGAATATTAAAAATACTATTTGTCATATTATTATAAGTAGCTAAGAAGGAATGACATATCAACCAAAATTGGATTACCAACTCTAGAAGATAACACATTAGCAAATGAGATAAAGGTAAATCCAAATTGATGAAAGTAGGCTCACAAAGATGAACGAAAATTGAAGACCGGAAGTTGATCTTGAAAGTGTGGCTAGTGCAACAATAATCTTCCATGTTCTGTCTCACTCCAAATTTACCCAAAACATAAAATTAACCTTCATGAAGCATGTCTCGAAACTTATTTAGAAATACTTTCCTTATAGATACTTAAACTCAACCTGTCTGCGAAGTTGTTAAGGAAAATAAATTAGCTAAAAAAATTATTATTATCCACTACAAAATGATGACTAATTTAATAGTAATATAACTCACATAGATATCAAGCAAAACCATCTCAACAGAAACAATATCGTATTCATCACCATATCTAGCCATACTCCATTTGCTAATTACCAATGCATTAATTTTTCATATTGATTTGAGTGGAGTAATGTCGAAAATCTTGTCTAAATTGGAAGTCATCTTTTCACGATCAAAGGAGTGTCAAAATTACCTACCAAATTAACTTTCAATCCTTAAAATCATGAGAGACAATGAGGAACATAACCAATTGTTAGTGTTTAAGAAAATAAAAATATCAAGCAAACTGGTATTATAAAATGTATGAAGTATGAAATAGAAGGATAGAGTCATTAATTCCTTTGGATATTATTATGATTCTAAAATAAAATATGAGCTGCAAATAAGCAAATAGAAACAAAATGAGTAATAGAAAAAGAAAAAAATTGTATAAAAATAGTTGGACAAACCTCTCAGATTCAATAGAAAGTTGTGAGAAAAGTTTGTAGTAATTATCTACCAAGTACAAATACACTATTATTAGTCTTCTTTAAGTTACTTTATTTTGAGTTAATTTTAGTTTTGATTTTATCTTTGATTATGCAATTATAAAAAAAAGAAAACTATCATGTTAAAATTTATTAGGAATCATATAATATAAAATATAATTTAATATTTAGGTCAAATTATTTATTATTTTATTTAAATTAATTTATCGTATCTCTAATTTAGAGATTTTTATTATTATTAGAAATTTTTCAAAACAAAATACTAACTATTACTCCATAATTTTGTTGGAAAATTATTTTTAATTTTATTATATATCTAAATTGAAAATTTTTTATTATTAAAATTTTTAATTAATAATTAAAGAAATTAATGTAATTAAACCAATTTACTCATTTACTACTAATAAAATTAAAAATAAAAGATATTATAAAATTTATTATTTTTAAAAATTATTAAAAAAATCTTCTTATATCAAGCGTACAGAAGGAGATTAAGTTTAACATATTATAGAAATTATAACCCTTTTATATAAAAATTAAATTAAAAAAATATTAAATACTGGAACTAGATTTAGAATTTGACCAGAAATACTTTTATGGAACATGAAAAACTTCAAAGGAAAAAAAAATGTCATTACGTGCAATTTTTACTTGTTCAGAGAATCATTGCAGTAATTTCCTTGCCGCAGTCATGTAATTACCACTGAATTTATGTCCAGTATATCGCAGACAAAACTGTATGAAGGTCTCCTCGTCGCTTCATCGAAAGATGAGCATTTAATTCTCATAAATTTTACTAATATTAATAAATATTCTATTTAATTCGCAAACAAAAATAGTTTTGTTTTTATATACCTATACATACTAAATTTTACTAATTCTATCAATAAATATCGAAAACATAATTTTAGAATAACTATTTTTTAAACCTTATTTTATAAAAATACTTATTTTTAAAAATTAAGATGAGAGTAATTTATTAAAGAAAAAATTTAATCACTTACTTATTTTAAATTTTAATAATTAATTTTTTGTTATAATTTATTTTTAAAATATTTAAAAAAAGAAAAAAAGTTAAGGATTCAAAGTCTTAAAACGTAGGGGACATTTATTAAAAAGATGAGATTATAGAACACTAATACACTGGATTCTATCGTAACTTCACAATTAAGTGAATAATACTAAGCTCGTAATATATTAAAATCTACAAAAGGAAAGAGTCTCACTATTCTTTCTTCGACATTTTGAAAGCAAGACCGCCGCGTTGTAGCTTACAAAATTGGAATTGTACCGAAGAATCAAAATTTTGACATCATCTTAATATTCAAGAAGTCTTTTGCCAAGTGCGTAATTTGAAGCAACTCATTTTAATCAGTCAAATTATGTACCCATTATTAAGGAGAGATAAATTTAATAAATGATCCTCACTATATTATTTTTATTTTATATATCAGCATTATTTTTTACATAGTTTGTAATTTTATTATATTTTGACTAATATTAATTTATTTAAATTTATCTATTTTATTTACTATTCTTAATCTTTTCACAAAGTTACCATTTAACAAGTAAAAAAATGAACAAAATAATTATAATAATTATTCTATACAAATTAACTAAAAATATAATAATAAAATTTAAATTAGTCTTACACTTTTAAAACAAAAAAGTAATATCAATTTTTTTATAAAATTATAACTTATGATTCAAATTTCAATATAAAACACTTGTATTTAGAACTTGTTTGTTTTATAATTAAAAAATTAATTTTTAATTTTTAATTTTTAATAAAATATGTAAACTAAATTAATTTATACATTTATTTTAATCATATTTAATGTTTGAAAATCTGTTATAATCGACTTTAAAATAAAATGACATTTAGTTTAGCTTTATTTATAAGATAACAAAATCATAATAAATATTTAAGTGATAAAAAATTATGAATGTATTTCATATACGATTTATTATTTTTCAAAAATGAAATTTTTTAAAATAAACAAGTCTTTTAAAAAAACTATTTAACAAAATCAACTCACGTCTGATTTTAATGGGTTATTGATCATTTTTTATTTTACTATTTTTTGAGAAATAATATTAGTAATATATTTTTTAACACACTTATCATTATTTATTAAAAGTTAAAATAATATGAGAGAAAAATATTAATTTTACTAATAATAAAGTGTATGTTAAAAATTATGTTAAAAAGTATACTAGTATAATTATTCAGGTCAATAATTTTATCGATTCCCAAGCAAATGCCATTAAATTTTTTAATCCAAAAAATGTATAATAAGTTGACATGTAACATTTTTTAGTAAAGCTTTTTTAAGGGGTTGTTTAAGATGGAGAATTTTGGAGGAGATACATTTATATTTTAAATAAATATATTTAAAATTAATATTTTTTTAAAAATAAAAAAATATAAATTAATATATTAATAAAAATTTAATGTATTAATAATATATTTATTATTATAAATAATATATAATTCTTTTAATTTAAAATTAAAAAATATGTCTTCTCTTTCAAACAACTTCTTTCCAAACACATCCTAAATTAATGCAATAGTAGAGTATTTTTATTTGTTGTGCGATTAAACGAAAAAAAATAAATAAGGGTGAGTTTTTAGAAATGTGGAACTTTCAAGATGTTGGGTTGAATTTGTTAATTTTCATTTTCTTCGTATAGATGTTATATGTCTTGGTATTACAATACTTATTTTTTTCTTACAAATGTTTTACAATTTGTTCTTAGTCTTTTATAAAATATTTTATTAGAATATATTTCTTATTTTTTTACGGTAAAAACTATTTTTTAATTTTTTTAACAGATGTAAATAATAAAAAAATTTAATATCTGACAGTATTTCAAAAAATAACGTTAATTAAAGAAATTAATATAAATTAACTTGAAATTATGCAACTTTTGTTAGAACTGAACACTTAAATCACACTTTAATTAAGTCATACTTTTATTTATTGATGTTTTATCATGACAATTTATGTAATTAATAGTTTTTAAAGCGGTGCTGTATTCTGTTTCTGGGTGAGGGTCGCATGTTGCTATGTTGATGTGGATTAACAATTCATGACACAGAAATACATTTTCTGTGTACTGAAGTTATCTTTCAAATAATACAAGGTTGTTTCTTTGCTCCGCGTAACTTAATAGCCTTAGACAAATTAAGAACCATCATGTGTCAGATAAAATTTTATAACTCTTCTTCCTTTTCAATGGAATGCACTTGGCTTAAAACCTACAAATAGAGTAAAAGCAAGTTTATGGGAAGGTAATTTTTTACAGAAGCAGAGAAAGAACAGAAACAATGGCCATGTATCTGAAGAGGAATTTCCGGGTAAAAGTCCAAAATGGACAGAAAAAAGAGGTCAAGGCATAACATGTCCATGTCTCGGTCTCGTCCCCACACCATAGTTTAGTCTCTGCAGACTTTTGTCAAGCCGCGTGGGTCCCTGCTCTCATGGACCTACCATACAAATCTCATAATATGCAGAGTCACAATTACAAGTCCATTTTCTTTCCAAGATTTTTTTAATATAGACTTTTGTGCCCCTATGCATCCACGACCAAGTCATAACCAATGTTATGTTATTAATAATATAATAAAATCACCAATTAGCTCAGTATAGGCCCCATTTACGAAACCAACCTTTCTTATAAATGCCCTCCCATCACATACATATTATTCATCCAACACGTTAGCACAAGTAGCAACTAACTTTGCGTTCCTCAGCATAAAAATATAACTTTGCTCAAAAGTAGGTGAAGTGCAGTAGCACTAGATAGCTAAACAGTACGTAGTGATAAACAAGCAAACATATTGATGATATGGCATCCATGGAAGACATCAACATGAGTGGGGAAATTGCACTTCCTGGCTTCCGATTTCACCCCACAGAAGAAGAACTCCTCAATTTCTATCTTAAAAACATGGTTGTTGGCAAGAAACATCGTTTTGATGTCATTGGTTTCCTCAACATCTATCATCATGATCCTTGGGACTTGCCTGGTAATCAATTCAATTAGTTCAACAAAATTATATGCATATATTCAATGTTCTGTGCTCCTTAATTGGTATGGCATGTAGTATATGCTAATAGACATTTATATTCAATGATATCTATGTATAGGTCTATCAAAGGTTGGGGAAAGAGAATGGTACTTCTTTGTGCCAAGGGACAAAAAGCATGGGAGTGGGGGAAGGCCTAACCGCACCACAGAAAAGGGGTTCTGGAAAGCCACCGGTTCAGACCGGAAAATTGTGACCTTATCTGATCCCAAGCGCATCATTGGGTTAAGGAAGACCTTAGTTTTCTATGAGGGAAGAGCTCCACGGGGATGCAAGACCGATTGGGTCATGAATGAGTACCGTTTACCTGACAATTGCAAATTACCAAAGGTATATTCATATTGTTTCAACATCAGCTATTCCCATCTATCTTTACGTCACTTTAGGCTGCTATCATATCACCAATTCAATGTGAACCCAATTTTAGATTCCTGCCATGGGATTAATTTATTTGCCCGTTAATTAATTTCTCATTCAAATCATACATATACTTTTGTCATTTTCTACTTGTAGTATGTTTAGTTTAGCTTAATTTTGTTTTAAAAGAATCATTTAATTTTCAAAGGGTTTCTCAAGGAATTAAAAGAAATAAACAATAATCTTTTCAAAATAAGTTGAACTAAACACTCAGTTTATTTATTTATTTTATGTTGGCAAAATACAGGGACAGTAGTTCATCTGATATGTTAGTAGTAGCATTAATCGGACCAGCAATGAGTTTTCCTTGGCAGAAATGTATAATTAATTAACATGCATAAAACTCATAAGAGAATTTCCATGAAGATAGACAGATAGTGATAGTTATTTTCTGGATGGCTAGGCTGCGGATATATGTAGTGGTCCCTTTTAGTCTTTTGTGAACCTCTTGTTTCATTCACAATGAAGTTATTAACTTTGCAACTTATTTTATGTCTAAAAGTTTCAAGTCTACGTTACATTACAAATGGTATTGGTACCACTAGTAATTAATAATATCATTAAACATTAATAATTGTTGTACTTGGGTACAGGACACTGTGTTATGCAAGATATATAGAAAGGCAACTTCGTTGAAGGTGCTAGAGCAAAGGGCAGCAATTGAGGAAGAAATGAAGCAAATGGTGGGTTCCCCTGCGTCCCCTCCTTCCTCTACGGACACCATGTCCTTTAATAGCCCTCAGGAAGACCAAAACGTGCCCTTGCCCATGTTGCAACATGTCGTTCTTAAGAAAGAGTCGGAAACTGAAACTGAAGAAATGGCTTATGTCTCAGTGCCAAAGCAAGAAAAATTAAGGACCCAATTGCCTCTCAAAGATAACAAAACGACTTGTGGCACATCACTGCAATTGCCCTTAGGGAGGGACAAGCTGCCCGAACTGCAACTACCCATTTTCCCAGACTGGACTCAAGATACCTTTTGGGCTCAATTGAACAGTCCTTGGCTCCCAAACTTGACTCCTTACTCCAACATCATAAATTTCTGACTCCGTTTATCATTGATCAAGTGTTGTCAACTACAACCTAGTTATTACCTGTTTAATTTGGAATGTATATGCAGTTAATTAATTAATAACGTATTTACATTAGCTCAATTAATTAGACATCTTTTCGTGTATCTAGTAATGTTTTGCTCAACTTCTGCCTAGCTGGAATTTGTTGTCAACCCTTACACCGCCCCTTAATGATGTTTCCCTCTCTCAATTAATGTCCAAGGAGTAGCTTTCATCTGTAGATGTAATTAGGCAACTTCACTCTTCACTTTCTGGGATTTGTTTTAATTTTTTTTAATGTGTCCAGTCAATAAACAGTAAATTTTAATTAAAAATTATAATATTTAATGTTATAATACATTGAACTGTGTGATCTTTTGTTATTTTTAACCAAAAAAATTAATATACATAAGTTGTTATCGTGTGTTACTTGACACATTATAAGAAATAAAAAAGCATTGTTTCAAAGTATTCATTGTTGTAGCTCCAGCTCAATAACATTTAATGTTACGATTTATGGATTACAGTTCCTTTTATATTTGAAAGTTATTTGGAATGCCAAACTTCTAGAATTGAAATTATTAATCTGAAATGGAATTAATTACACAGGATTTACATGCCATGAAAAACTACATTTCAAACTTAAAAGCATGAAGATATTACCTAAATTCTTTTGAAATTTATTGAAGTTGTAGATGTTATTTAAAAAAAGAAAGTGTTTATTATCACTCATTTGTGTTTATTGTTATTTTTGTTTAGAATACCTTTATGTAATATGCTAATGAAATTAACAATAAGAATACTTTTAAAAAATAGTTATATAACTAGCAAAAAAAAAAATTGTTATATAAAGTAATAATAGACATACAGTGACAATAGTCTCTCCTTTAATAAGTTATATAAAAGAGAGAAACGGTAAGTTTTGTAATCTTAAGAGAATTGTTGCTGCGTCAGTTTATCAAATTAGCATTGAGTGTGAGCGAACCTTCTCCTTTGAGGATGTTCATTAAATTGGTTATGGCAACTTTCACATCAATAAGGGGAATGAAATTTAACGATATATACAATTTCAATAATCAAATTAAGTGGTAGTTATTAAAATTAGAAACCAAGGATTTATTTAATTACTGTTTTAAAGAATAGCGTTTTGTTTAAAAAAAATAAATTTAATTAAACAAAAAATTCATTTGATAAAGAATATTTTATTTAAAGTTTTAATAAATATTTTTAAAAAGGAGAAAAAATAATTAACAGATGTTTTAAAAAGTTATTGATTCTGACGATGATGATTTGGTAATAACGTCATCAAAATCCAAATCTAATGAACCCATTGTTGTCTATCCTGGTCTTCACACTTGCATTTTTGGTTTCTGAAAAGAGGTTATTGGCGTGTTTTAATGAGAGTGATGGCGCGAAACAGCGTAAGTATATGACTACGAGAAATTGAGAATGGTGTGAATGAATATCAAGTATGTTGGAAATGGTTGTTAAGGACCTCAAGAGGTGGTTCATTGCCATCCGCAGATACGCTTCTTAGAAGAGAAGAGATTCCATTGTTAGACACTAGTCTTTCAAAATTTTGTTTCCAAGCAATTCTATTTTGCTTTTTACTTTAAAAAAAAAAAAAAACTGTAATTTTTATAATTGAGATGATTTGGTACAATTTTTTATACATGAAACAATTGGGACTTTTAATTCTATACTAATAAAAAATAAAGTTAATGATTTAATTAAAAAAAATATGATAATATTTTTTTATCTTTAAGAGATTAGAGGAATTATAATTGTTAATTAAAAAAAACTTTATTTAAGAGTTTGATGGAAAAAGATTTAAAGACGGAAGAGAAGAAAAAAAAGGAGGGTTAAACTCTTTTTTTATTTAAATGTTTAATAATAGAAAGAAAGATTACAAGAAATTTAAGAATGTAAATAACAATATTATTCTTTATATCTTTTATTTATAATTTTTTATTTTTTAAAAAATACAAAAATTAAATATTTTTCTTTTTTTAAAAACTAATATATTTAATATTTTATAATTTTTTTAAAAAAATATTACTTTTGACAATTAATATATTTAAAAAATTTAAAATTTTAATCATAAAATAATACGAAAGAATTAGAGAGAGAAAAACTACTCCTTAAAAATTATATATATATATATATATATATAATTTTTATATTTTATATAATAATATATAAAATAATGAATAGAAATCAAATAAAAAAAAGGAGAGAGTAAAATAAGATAAAAAATATTTTTTTTATGCAATATAACATAAACATAGTAATTTCATTTTTTTTTAATTTGGGAGAGATGGTTGAGTGGAATAAAGTATCATATTGCTAATCTTTTGAAATATACTCTTTACTTTTTTCTGAAAAATAGTTTGAACAAATAATTTTGAAAAATTATAGAATCTTTTACAGATCACCCGATTTGATAGGACTTATATGTTGCAGTTCATTGAGAGTTTTATATTAAGCAACCACTCCAGCAGTAGAATCTCAGTTAGGTACTTACCTCTACTAGAAGATTTTGTATAAAGAGTTGTACATGGCCACCAATATTGATCGACATGATTTAGGTGGGTTAGCTGCATTACTTGTTATGTAGGCATGATATAGGTTTCCATTTCTAGCACCTAGTAACACCTCCTCTCCACACACACACAAGGCCATCTTTCATATGCTACCAGGTAATAGTAAACATTTATTTATTCAGCTTTGATTAACATACCTTCAGTATTAACATTATCTGTAATTTTTTGTAGGTGATTGGCAAACCAAAGGATTAGAAAAAGGAGGAGAGACATTTCTTATTATAGATATAAATTTGACATACTTAGTTTTGAAGAGATAACCATTGATTGACTTTGACATATGAAATTATCGTCATATTTCATATTTCTTCTCATTTATCAAAAATTGACTTGAATATTTGTATATTATTTGCAAATAATTTGGTAACCATATTTTGTTGATTTGATTCATTTATTGCCACCTATATGTCATGAGGGGATGAATTTGTGGAGGGCTGTAGTGCCTCTGATATGTTTTTAGGTATATGAGTGACACTAACCAGATCAAATCATGCGGTAATTTGGTATGGTTCAGCACATACCTCGTGGCTCATATCAGCTAGATGCATTACATGACTTAACATTGAGAGGAAAGACATCAGAGAATTGGCAAGAGAAGCTTAAGGATGCCTTAGACATTTGGGAGAGGAGAGATTAGGTCATGACAAATGACCCCCAGATTGGTTTGCTAAATTTCAACTCTTAGTATATGTGGTAATAGAGCTCATATTAGACGTTAGATGACAAGAGACGCATTTGTCTCATCACTACTTGTAAGTGTAATCAAACGACTTAAATGTACCAAATTTTGTTTTCCATTTATGATTTTTATTGATATTGTGTTCAATAAACAATTGTTTATATCTCAAAAGGTTTCACGAAATATGATATTATGCAAGCTTTGATACATATAATAAAAACTTACCAATGATGCATGAACAAATCAAATATGAATCTAGTTTGATATGGTCTTGAGATATTGTAAGGTTGAGACATATATGCTTACCCTCACACCTTGTTATTTTTCATTTTGTTGATTTTCTAAGCAATGATGCTCTTATTCTCCATGGATAACCATTGTTATGGTTCAAACACCTCACATGCAATTTTATTGATTTTGACTCAACAACAAAATAACTCTTATATATTTTTATTGTATGTTGTTTTAAGGTATTTTTAACTTCATCTTTGGAATCAAATAATAAACCTACATGTAAGGGATCTCCAATAATCCATGAAATATCTTCACTAATTTCTTCAGCTTCAATTTCTTGGTCTGGGTGTTCCCAATTAATATAGTTGTTGTATGAACTTGCATTCCAAAAGGGTATTTCACCTACACCTACATATAAACAGACACACATTATTCATCATCATAAAAAAATATAATTTAATCAATATACTCTTTAACTAACAATAACTCCAATATTTTCTTGTCGTAAATTTAAGTTTGACTCAAAATCACCATGTACGTCTATATCTGATGAGCTATCTAACGGAATATGTCCTTCATCAACATCACTATGACCATCACTATTGACCTCTTCATCTTCATAATTGCATAAATTTGCACATCCTTCAAAATACATATACTTATTAAATATGTGTCGTTCGTAAAAATAAATCAAAAATCATGATAATAATTTTATTTATACTTTCTGTAACATTTATATTCACCATTTCCATAAGGTTAGGTGATAACATTGATAAGCTTAAGTCTAACATATTTGAGCTAACTCTTGAACTCTCACCAAATGCAATATCCACATATAATTTAATAATAGTTATAATATTTTGTCTGATACGCGCTAATCATACAATCAATATCTTTATTATCACATATATCAAGTGTAGTGTATTATTTAGCGCTTGAATCAACCATAAAATGAAAAATTATTCTAGATATGAAATGATTATTACTAAAATTTAACTTGTCATTAATTTTTTTTTTAAATTCATAAAACTTATCCATCTTTTTATCTTTATCATTTTTTTGTTATTTTCAAATGTCATACCTTCGTTTTCAACAACAATTTTTTCATTCTAATATACAATAATAATAATTTTACTCATCTTGCATTTGTAAAAATATATAATATCAATAAAAAATTACAATTATACTTATTTATATAAATAATAAAAATAAATTATTATTAAAACATACAAACATATTACTACATTTCACATCATTTTATATTAAAAAAAATTAATAATTTTTATTTTATATTTTTCTATTATGATGTTACATATAAGATCTTTTAAATCAAGTTATTTCTAAAAAAAGTTATGACTTTTTTTAATAAATATTCACATATATAGCTTTAAAAATAATAATAAATCTAATATAAAAAAAAAACTAATAAATCGGCTTAATAGTTCGACGATGGACTGACTATGCTCATATTATTATTTGCAATTTCATGTGACTTTTTTGGTCGAACGCGCTAATTACCGTTTGCCTAACTTCAAATCTTCATACGTAGAACGTTGAATTGAAAGGGAGGCCACGTAAATGGAAGCACGACTTGGTCGCTTTATTCAAGATCAAAATAATGAATAATTCAAAAAAGGTAATTTTTAACAAAATCAATGTTTATTTTGTAAGTGCACATAATAATAATAAGATTCAGTTCATATAAAATTCCAAAATTAGAATGCCCAAAATAGTGATACTATATTTGGCGTTTGATTAAAGTTAAGATGAGGCTAATGAGACAAAGTTGTGTAGAACTGAACAGAGAGATTTGTAATTCATATGAGACTGGTCATAGCTGAAATGGACAAAAGGGATGCTGCAATCTGGAGATAGAAATTTGATGCTTTTGATTATTAAGTCAATTAAGAGTGACAAGTTCAATAAGAGTCTGTAAACAATACAAACGGTTTCAACAAGCCATTACTTGCTGGCTTCCTCTGTTGTTGATTGAACAACACAAACACTATTGCTCTTAGCACCAATTAAGTAAAAAATGGTTTGATAAAAACCAAAATCTCTGTTTTTTTGTTTTGCCAATCTTTCTCTAGGACAATCTTTTGAGGTCCAGAAGTATAGTTTTCGGGCTTTAGCATCATTTGTTGGGCCTATAATTAGGTTGTCTCCTTCTCTGGACTTAAACCATTTAAGGTTACAAGAAAGAGTTGAAGACAAACAAGTTCATATGTTCGACCAAAATATGAAAGATAAGTTCACATTTCCTTTAAAATAAAAGAAAAAATAAAGTTAAGCATATTTATTTTAAATTATAGAAAAATATGAATAATTAATTTAAAAAGAATTAAATTTGAGTTATTTTAATGCTTTCTCCCAACATCAAAGGGAACCAAATCAACTTGGATGATCAATGCCTTCTCCAGATATGAAAAGTTTTTGAAGTTTAGCATAGCTAATTTAAATCAACCCAACCTTAAATGGTTATCGTTTAGAGTTTTCCATTTTTAAACTCAATTCAACCTAAAACCTTGTTAAAAAAAAGGAAAAGAAATACATATAAAAATGGTATTACGGTTATTTTAACATATATATAACAATAAAGTTTTAATATAATTCATTTAAAAACAACTGTCTAACTTTAACCATTCTTATCATCCTCAAGAGACATTAACAAAATTCACAATAATAAAACTGAACAGAGTCAAGATGAGTCCTTAACATCAAAGTTAAGAAATGGAAATAGGTTGAGCAACTTGTTCAAAGTCTATAACATAAAATCACAATGTTCGCTTTGATATGTAGGTGGCATTTGTTCGCACCATTGTTGGCAACATCACACAGTAGAACTTTCATGCATCTCAAGATCACCGATGTTGCTTTGACCTAACCATGAAGCAAATACCAAAACCATTCAATTCCTGCGACAAACCCACTATTCTCTACGTGGTTTGAGATTATCACTTCTATTGCTTCATCATACCTAATCTGAAAGTTGTTATAATGGCAAGATACAGCCTACTAAAATTTTAATATTATAGAATGTTTGGTGTGAAGTTGTTTAAGATCTTAACATCATGATGTCACAAGAGTTCATGTAAGTAGACACTGACATTATAACAATTGGTCTAGTGATTCATAGGTGGTTGATGATGGGTGTTAGTGGTCTCTCAAGGTGCTATGATTAGCTTATCAAATGGTGTTTATGTTAAAAAAAAAATTGACAATAAAGTTAAAAAAATTTAGCCAAAATAAAAGTATAGTAGGCAAGAATAACATACATTAACAAAAAAATTTCCTCCTTATTTAAGAGTGTATTTGTCTTTTTTTACACATGATGATATCATTGTTAGGTATAGAATGCATTTAGCGCTAGTAAGACATGTCATGACACGTTAAATAAAGCTATTATTTGTCAAAAATATAAGAAGTGTTATATAGTAGTTTTGTGTACGTATGCGTGTGAGGGTCAAATTCTAGAAAGGGGACTTGCTTGCAATGGTCCATTGTTCAATGGTCAATATTTAAGAGAGCTTCATTTTCACAATAGCTCTTAGTGGATTGACGACAATTTGAAAAGTTTGATCAAAGTCAAGTATTTAACGCATTATGAATTTTTATTTTGGTAAAAAAATTTATGAATTTAATAATTTAATAAAGATTACACATAATCATAAATAGGAAATTTGAATTTTTTAAATATTTTAAAATTCTAATATCTAATCTTTTATTTTGAAATATTTTGTTTGAGTAGAATGATTTTCTTTCGCTTCAAATATTTTAGTTTAGATAAAGTGATAAAATGTTATTTATTCTCAATTTCTTTGATTCTAAATACCTTTGTTTGGAGGGAGAGAGAAAACAAGAGAGAAACTCAACGCAATACACTGAGAAATAAAAAAATTAATTCCAATTCTTACACTTTTATAAAGATTTCGAGTTATTTGATTTTAATCTATTAAAAGTTTTAAAATATTAAATTATTTAAAATTAAACATATAAAAAATTAACTCATAAAATTATAATTTTTAAAAAAATTAATCACTTAAAATATCTCATCATAAAAAAAATTAGAGAAATTTAATATTTTTATATTTTTGAACAACTGGACCAACTTAATAAGAATAAGTCCAACCAAATGCTGAACTGCAGTTGGGCCAAGGTCTGCCATCTAGTGCAGGCCACCCACGTCTGAAGGGTCCACCTTTCAGAATTGACAAAAAAAAATGACAATTCCCAAATAAACTTGTAGATTATCCTAGTAAATGCTATTATTGGTGCCAAGAAATTCACTTTAAGTGGCTAAACAATCTTTCCACTATCGTTATTCTGCTATAATCTTGCTGTAATTATTAATTAAGCATTCCAATATCTTTGCATGTATCAATCCCACGCTTCGTTGCTTGAGGTCACAGAGAAGAGTTGCACCTCTTACTGTGAAGGATTCCAATATGCTAACAAAGTGTAGAATGATCATTTTAGAAATCCAAGTGTTTCGGATTAAAAACTTTCTAAATGACTATATCAAAATCTACTTTAGCCTAATTTCACCTAATTATCTCTTAATTTTGTGCAACAAGAGGTGTTTGATATTCCCTCCATTTTAAATTAATAAATTATGTTAACTTTAAGAGGTCAAGCATCCAAAAGTAGTAAATTTTATTTTAAAAAAATACACGTTTATAAAGTATAATAAATTATTCTATTTTTAATGATTTTTTGCAATGAATAAAAACAATAATTATTATTCTTTTACACCTTGAAATAATCAACCATGTCAACGGCTAATATTTTCTTGTATAGTGTATTTAGAACATTGACTATTAAAAAAATGAATTTAAAAAAATATTGCATTGGTTATTTGTATAAGGATAAAATTAGAAAATAATCTATTAATATCCTAAAATTATTATTATTATTATTATTACGGGTTACAATTAGTTTGAAATGGAGGAATATATATGTATAACTAAGATTTTTTTGTTATTTTGCGTTGAATTTAAGTTAGTTTCTATAAATTTTTTTGAGTTAAAATATAATTTTCGCTTGTTCACAAACTATTATTTTTAATACTAATAAGTCTATAACTAACATGATCGATGGCATACTACCAAATGTCAATTAGAAGAACTAAAAATAAATAGCTTATACAAATATTAAATTATATTTTAACAAAATATTTTGTAAATATTAAGTTTAAAATGTATAACTTTTATAAGAATCAAACACTTAATTAAGTTATATATTTTTTATAAAATGAAAGATTGACAAATTTACAAGTGTACATGTTTAATATCTACATATTCTTAATTTTCTCTACATAGGAAGAGAGAAAGGAGAGGAGGAGAAATTATTGAATGATTTGAGGCTATATGATTTAAGCCAATTATATTGCGATATTATTAAATTTTTTTTACAATTTTCTTTAAAAAAAATACATATTACTAAATGAGTGACTCACACCATCATGATTTGACCACTATCAAACAACACGAGTCACAGCGTCATAGCCTACTTATATTACAATCTTATCATTGTGTTTTTGCCTCTCAACTTCTCAAATTATTTAAAACAGCATGTTTTAAAGAAATTCAACTTTCCTTTAAACTAAGACGTAATTGTGGTGAACTTATTTGTAATTAAAAATCTTATGTAGTGGTTGCTGGCCATTTATTCCTATTATCCTTTTTACTGACACATCCATTGGTTAAATGGAAAATAAAGGTTAAAGTTTAGGTAATTATATTATTAATTTCCCACTTCAATTCACTGGAGAGCATTTTTGGTTAGCAATTTTCAATAAATTGAATTATGCTAAAATAAGAAAAAATAGCATTTATTACGGAATATTATATATGGGACCTCCTCTTCGTTTGGTTGCCAAAATAAGCAATAATTCATTAAATATAACAGAAAAGTTAGGTCCACAAGGAAAAATGAAGACTGAACTCTCGCTCTCGCTCTCGCTCTCGCTCTCGCTCGGCCACGGGCCACAGGGCAGAGGGCAGAGGGCAGAGACGAGGAATTGACTAGCAGTAAGCAGTAAGCAGTAGGAGAAATATTCTATTCTATTCTATTTCCTGTGGGTGTAGGCCGTACACTCTGCGCTCTTTCCCTAGCCACCCACACCCCATCTCCATCTCCATCCCCATCCCCATCCCCATCCCACTATTGCCACAGAACCAGTGGACGTGAAGGAGACGTCATTCTCTCTCTCTCCCAAGTCTTGCCCCTTATTATTATTCATTCGAGATAAGCTTAGCCTACCCAGCATTCCACTCCACATTAGACATTGGGCTGAATCATTATTATACACTCCACCCCTCCTTTCCCATGTAATAGGAGCTCCCTTCCACCCCACTCTCAATCAATTAAACAATCAATAAAAATTAAAAAATTAACTTGCAATCATTTCGCACTTTCAATTCACTAACTTAAAAAAGATTCTCCTCTCTGCCACCCAATACCATGTCCTTTCTGGGGGTTGCAGCACAGAAAGCAGCAAGGGGTACCCATCCATCAAGTTCAAACAAAACTATCATCAAATGATTTCAACCGAATCAGAGGGTTGCCAAGCTGAAGCAATCAACAGAGAAAGATCCTTCCAACCAAGCTTCAGAGAACCATTCTCTTCCACAAGCGTGTACCCTCTCCAAGGGAACATTCCAAGCAACAAACTCGCCTGTGCAGCCGGGTTGCCCCGGAGAGAAACCGGTCGAAACCCGACCCGTTTCAACTCGTCCCCCCACCTCTCCACCTTAACCTCACCCGTTCTCTTGGGCCCCCCCACTGCCACAATATTTCTGATTTCGCAGCCCAATAACTGCTGCTCCACCGTATGCCTCTCGAGGCTGTCCACACCCAACCCATCCCCGAGCGCGTCGAACAACGCGCTGTAATAATGCAAGGCCTCCACGAAGCGCGCGAGGAAACTCCCGGCGTGGCTGAGATCCTGTTCAACGGTCGTGATAAGCTTCGGCCTAAGCTGAGTCAGCAATCTCAACGTCCCTAAATCGCTGCCAGTTATATCATACAAGCAGTGGTGCATCCAGTGCACCACTGTCGCCTCGTTCGGCCTAACGCCGAGTTGACTCGCCTCACTCACGCTCCCGATTTTACCTTCCACCGGGTGAAACTCGAAGGGAAGCCCAAGCGAACTCGCGAAGTCGGCGAGTCTCCGACCTGTGGACTCCAGAAGCTCGGAGGAGGCTCCGAACCCGGTGATTCTCATGGAGCGGATCTTCTTGGAGCGAGAGGCGAGGATGTGGAACAATCCTGGCCATTGAAGGCCTTGCATGATGTCCAGGTCGATGATGTGGACGCGATCCTCGCCTTCCAGGGCCTGGAAGATGGCCTGGTTCGCGGTGAAGTGCGAGAACTTCACCAGCGGCGAGACCGAGTTGTAGGATTGAAACGCGTTGAAGATTCGCTGCGACTGAGTCAGGGTTACCGATTTGGCCGTTAACGGAGAGTACGTACCGAGGCAGGAACTCACCACTCGGGCCTGCAGCGCCTGAGCGAAGTACGCGCCAACGCGCTCTGGCGACGTCCCGAACGGCGAGGAGAGTTCGGCGATCTCAGGCAAGAGGTCGTTGGCGAAGTCGAGGTTGTCCATGGCAACGCACTCGGCACACTGAAGCAAAAGCCCTAGGAGTTTGAGACCGGTGGACTCACCTTGAGCTTCAGGTTCGAAGGCCTGTTCCTCATCAGCTTCGTCGGCGCCGGAGAGGTTGTGTCGCTTGAAGGAAGGTTCGTCGGCGGAGGAATCAGCGTCGGAGCGCTTAGTTTTCATGGCGTTAGGGTTGGAAGTGAGGGGGGATCGGGGGAGCAAGCTTTGAAGCATGATCGGTGAGAGAATCGAAAGGTTTGAAGGAAACTTTTGGGGGAAAAGTGACAAAACTGAGAGGGAAAGACAAGGAAAGTTTGTGCAGAGAGGTAGAGAGTTGTCAGAAAAGGAGTGTTTGGTGAGAGAGTTAATTTTTATTTTCAATGATTTTTAAATATTTAGATTAAAAGATTAAAAAAGGAGACAGAAAGGGTGATGACTTTGTAGCCCAGAAAAGTTTGGGTGTTATCCTCTTTGGGCGCTCCGTTTTGTTTTCGACGTGTCGTTACCTTCGTCACGTTTTGGGGATTATTAACTAATCACCTCATCTTTGGGGTTTATTAACTCTCCTTTTTTGTCCCACCATCCCCAGACTATGATATCTCTCGTTTTCCTCACTCTTCATCATCTTCCCCCTATTATAATACTCCCTACCATCACCATTTTTTCATAATTATTAGCTCCTTCATTGTATATAATAAAGCTTTATTGCCTGTTAATCATTTTTAGCTTAGGGATCCAACCCCATGGGGTATAGGTCAGCTTGGCCCCACCTACGAGTTGAGTCTTATGTTCTTTACCTTTTATACAAGTGAACATTCTCATCGCAAAAACTTTCTTACTTCTATTTTATCTTTCTTTTTGGAATACCATCATTCCAATATTCACGTGACAATTATTAAGCAATTTATCTTTCAAATTGACGCCAAAAATCACTCACCACCTCACAACCATCTATGGAAAATTCCTTCCTTCTAAAGCAAATCAATTATGCCAAATGAATACCACCAATATCTATCTTATGAATTGGGGACCTTTCTTTCCTACCAAAATGTTATTTGAAGTTCCCCTCTTTCGTAGAACTTTACTATTTTTAGCAGGGCAATAAAACATTATTAACAAGTCATTAGAATAAAATATATTTACTGCTTGTTTTAACAACTTAATCATGTTAAAAAAACCTCGCTCAATAAAAACAAAAAATAAATTTTTACTTTTTAAAATTATTTCAAAACTATATGTAAATATTTCTTAAAAAGTTACATGTAAAATGAAAATAATGAGAGCCATAACCTTCATATTTAAATATTGATTTATTTTTCATTCTTTTGATATATATATTTTTCTATGGATGCAAAACTAAAATTTTAAAATTTATTTAAGCATCAAACTCGTTATTTTGTGCCATTATTTTTTTAACATATTGTAAGTTAGGTATTTGATATTTTTTTAATTTATTTTTTAGTCTCTCCTGAACTCCTAATCCATATGTAGGAATGGAAACAGGCCAAGTCAAGTCAGACTTTACTTTAAACAGCTTTAGTCTGTAACATAATTATTAGACCTGAGCCTCATCTGTTACCTGTTAAAGGTTTTATTTTCAGCTTGATCTGGTCTATTTAGGTGGCTTGACTTGGCTTGAAGTCTATTACAAAAAAAAAAAATCTTAATATTAATGAAAATATAAATTTTTATTATCAAATTAGTTTACATATTTTTTTTACTTTTCATCCGTGTTATTGATAATTATTAAATAATTGTAATAATTTTTACATAATTTTATAAATAATTTTTAAAATATTATTTGAGCACTAGTTATAAATGTTTCATATTAAATAATTTTTTTTTAAAATTATTAAAGTATTAAAGATTTTAGTTTTTTTTAAGAATCATATTTTGTTTGTTTAAAGACATCTTATATTTAATAAATAAAGTTATAGTAAACACATAAAATTGATCACAAAAAATAATATTCACACAATCTGTTGAATCAACTGAAAGAAAATTATTATATTTTAAAAAATAATTAAATTTAATGTAATATATATATAGATATATAACGACAATAATAATTATTATTAAATTAAAAAAATAATTACAAAATATTTAATTTTATTTATTTTATTAATTTTTTATTTTAAATTAACAAATATACGTAAAATTAACTACATTATAACATTAATATAATATAGAAAATATTACTGATACAATACATCAAAACATATATATATATATATATATTATAAATTGATAAATTAATTAATAATTTAATTTTTTATTTATATTTATTTATAAAAATATTTATTGATTATTGAATTTCGAATGTATATTAATAACTATATTTTTTAAGAAAAAATCTATTTACATCTACATCAAATTCGTGAAAAATAATTATTTAAAATTTGACATTTATATTTAGATGTGTTGTTGTGTGTTGTAGCCTTGGGATTTAAAATGTTTTTTATAGGTACTTTACTCAAAAAATTTATAGCAATAAAAATAAAATACGTATTAAGTTACAAAAAGTATATACTATTATGTATAATTTATTTAAAATTATATTATTTATATTATTTATTATATAATCTTATTTTATATATATATATATTATATGAAATTTTTTATTTTATTTTTCTATCTTTTTTTTTTATAAAATTTTAGTTTCAAATAAAATATAATTCATATTTAAAGAATTTTTATTTATTATAAAGAGAAACAATTAAACATAATATATTAATATAATAATTAAATATTGATAATAATAAAATTAAAAATATAAAAATTATATTAATATATTATTATTATTTTATTTTTAAATTTTATTTCATTCATTTTTTATTGCTTCTTGTCGCTGTTCAAAGATTTAACCATTTTTTAACTTATTTAAATATAACAAATATGATAATTTATTATTAAATAAATTTATTATTTAAAAAGTGTAATAGTGTGTAAATTTTTTTAATTTTTAATAGAATATAATTTTTATTTATTATAATTATAAATAAAAGAATTATAACACAATATATTAATTTAATATAACAGAATTAAAAATATATATTTAAATAAATTTATTATTTAAATATATTTTAACAGTTCTATTTTTAATATATATATATATATGCTGATCTGTCAAACTTAACAGACTTTATAAACATTTTAAATCTGACTTTGTTTTATTATTAAAAGGGTCTAAACCAGGTCAGACTGCAGATTCTGTCAGATAGTCTGACCTATTTTCATACTTATCCATATGATATGCAACATATTTATTTTCTCGTTAAAAACTGATAGAGATACTTTGAAACAACTGCATCTTATACTTTAGTTTATATTTTACTTTTACTTAAACAAAAATGTTAAAAAAGAAATCACTAACCAAACCACTAACAACAGGTGCAGTTTTCGTCCATTAGAAACCTCCATTAAGTAAAACAATGCTTTGTAAGTTTGAAAAATTGATTTCAACCTCGAAAAAAGAGACTCATAGAACCTGTTAGAGCTTATGACAGAGAAGCTAAAAAAATTGTGGTAGAATTTTGACCAATCAAGATGACCAATACTTCGTTCAAGCTTTTGGCCTTGAGTAGTTTGTGTTATGGTGTTGATTGACCAAGCTACCATCATCCTATTTTGTATAAAGAGTAATTTGCAAAATAAACATTCAATGGCATATAACAAATGGTCAGGGATGGAAAATTTTTGACATGGTCCATGATAGATAACACCAAAGAAAAGAAGGTAGAAGGTTGCATTCAAACACGAGGGTTGCATGAACTTTTTGCCCTTCGTTTTTGTCATTGTCCTTTTGCCCGTTTTTTCTTTTTGGTAAACATCTATTTTTGTCCGACAAAGTGACCCGACTAAAGCTGGACCCCCATTCAAGCCCAGCCCAGCAAGCTCCCCAGTGTAAGGGTTTAAGTAATATTATTGAACTTTTTCGTAGAGCTAAACCAAAATACGATGGTTGACCAGGAAAACAAAACATGATGCAAGATGATCCATTGGACAGGATATCTCGTTTTGTTTTTCCTATGATTTGATTGCTTAAAATTTAAAGCATCTGAATAGTAAGAAATATAATGACAAAAAAGAGTAAGAAATATTATTTAAAGGTAAATTCAAATTTTATAATGTACTAACAATTTTTTTTTTCAAATATCATACACAGGAGAGAGAGAGAGAGTAGGGTCTTTAATCTTTACACCATCATTTTTGGACCAAAAAACAAGGTACATAGTTTTCTAGCTGCCCCAAATTCTCCATCAATTGAGAAAGAAAATGTGCTCCATAGAAAAAACAACTCGCATTAAAATTATTAAAAGTTCAAACTTTAAAACAAAAACATTAACCAACCCCCATTTCTTTTTTACACACAGGCAAGGGATATGAATGAAAACAAGTTCCCTGACCAACCTGAAGACTTCTGAGCTTGAAAGCAAGCAAAGAGAGCTTTCAATCATATGTATATAATCTTAATCAACGGCAAAAGGGGAAAAAAAAAATAGAAAAACCATGATGAATAGCAAAACCAAAAGACATACATACACTGTGATACTAATAACGCTTCCCAAGAATTATGCCAAAGATAATGGACACAAGAGCCACTCCCAAGATGAACTTGAAATTTATGACAGGTGAAACCTGGCCACTTTGAATATGTGTCTCCGAGGAAGATGATGTTTGAGAAGTTGTTGCCTCTGATTTTTTCCTGCTCTTCCTTTTTGATGGAGTTGTGATGCTTGATCCAATGTCCCTCGATTTGACTTCCAACCCATCTTTCTGATCAACACCCTCGTCACCCTGGAACATCAATAAAATATGCAAAAATGACATTTGCTAACAAACCTAAATAATTGATGAGGAAGTCATTTGTTCTCTTGTACTCAATGATTTGAACTTTCGATTAATGACACTTCGCAAGGTACAAAAGCTAGTTTGAATGAGTGCGGAATTCAAATTTCAGCATTCTCCAATCTTAAGTATAGTTTCACAAAATTGCACAATATTTTCCTAACATCACCCAAAACAACTGAAAGTCAACCCCCCAAAAGTCAACTTAAATATTGCTGAGTAGTGTTTTGATTGTATTTGTTTTATTTTAGTTGGAAAATTGAATGAATGTAAATCATGTCATTTCTGGTTTTAAAGCTACAGGGAAATAATTTGTTCACATGTGAGCACTCGTGCTTGGGAACTTTTGGAAGGAGAATTACCTTAACAGAGGATTTATCAACAGCCAGTTTCAATTTCTGCTCTAGATCTGTCACTTGTTTCTGTAGAATAGAGATATCCTTTTTCTTAGTTTCAAGTTCTTCAAGAGAATTCTTAAGGGTTGCCTCTAGTTCCAACTTCTGAGATTCTGCTCCTTTCTGCTTTATTATTTTTTTAAAAAGAAAATGAAATTAGTTGGACACAAATAGATTATATAAGTTGTATATGTATCTCAAATCTCAGCAAAACGGGTGGAGTTACATAGTTTTAAATTGTGGTGGCCAAAGAGAAAGAGCAATGCCGAAAAGGTACAAAACAGTTTTCATGTACACACCGAAGAGCAATGCTTTTTTTAAGATCAAATATGTCTGTTATTTTTTTAATGAATTGAATGTAAAATGGACGAAAAAAAAAAATCTTTTTGGGGTGGCATAGCCCCCTCAAAACAACACCACAATAGTTCCTCTGCCCCTAGTAGGGTCATGAAGGAATAGTATCCAAGAAAATTGAGATTTTGAATGGGAAAACCTACATTGATAAAAAAATAATACAAAACTTAAACCTGCAGGAAAATTTGCTTAGTTTAAGAGAGTAAGCATCCATAACTCAATTTTTTTAAAACATATGTCACAACCTTGAAACAAAATACAATACCTGGTTTGCAATGGTAGCCTGTGCAAGTTGTAACTCTTTCTCAAGTTCTACAACCTCTACATTTAGCGCATTACTATCATTGACTTTTTGTGCATAGTCTTCCAATTTTGAACTTAATTCTGCTTCTCTTTGAGAAGCAGCTTGAACAGTTCCAACCTGCAAAATATTAAATTATTCAGCAACGTCCTTCAATGTAAACAGTAGATTCACAAGTTAGTTCCGAAAGGTACTATGCTTCTAAATTTTGCGCTTAGTTAAAAAAAAAAAGGAACTTCAGCACTACCTCTTCATTTAATCTAGATTCAGATGCAATCAGTTGTCCTTCAATTTCCTTCAGCCGACTTTGCAATGCAGATTTCTCAGCAATCTCAATTTTAAAAGTTTCAATCTCAGATCTCAGAGAGTCTTCAATTTTCTGTTGTTCTTTCAACTTCTCTTCAAGGTCAGATATCAGAGACTGAAGTTCCTTCTTTAAATTCTGATTAGTCTCATTGAGCAAGTTCTTCTCATCCGTTACTGAAGATATCTGCAAATTGATATCATTTAATTAAGAGATCAATTTCTACTTATCATGGTTCATTCAAAATGATATTATTTCAGAAAATTATTATTACCACAGATAGAAATAGATGAAGGAAGCAAAAATAAAGGAATAGCAGCATGTATAGTCTGTATCTTATGTACCTGAGAATTTAATGTGTGCAGTTCCGCACTATGCTTTGTCACTAATTCTTCAATGGCATTCTTTGACGTGAGTATCTCTTTAACTGTTTCATCCTTTTCAACAAGTGCTGCAGAGAGCTTCGACTGTAAATCACTTAATTTGGATTCATAGATACCTCTTTCCTGATTAAGCTTTGACTTTTCTTCATTTAGTCCTGCAGTTTCCTTTTCATGGTAGAGTGACTTGTTTTGCAGTTCCTCAATGACTGTTTCAAGATGCTTTAATTTTGTGAGACTCTCTTCAAGCTCAGCTTTATGAGTTCCAGAAGCTGCAACTGCTTCATGAGCCTGTTCTTCAAACAACTTTATTTGGTCCTGTAGTGTAATCAGCTTCTCATTCAATTCTTTGGCTTCTGATTCCTTCTTATTATGCCTCTGCAATGCTTCTTGTAATTGTGATTCTACTTCCAGGATGCGAGCTTCATTTGCACGATGAATTTCAGAAGATTTTGATTGTACGTCGTTCAGTTCAGCTACTGTGTTCTTATGAGACGCAAGTTCTTGAGCAGTGGCTTCCTTCTCTGATAGAGCACGGTTCAGTGATTCCTGAAGTTCATCAATCTTAGTTTTTAGTTGAATGTTTGTTCCAACCAATAATTCATTATCAGTATAAGACTGAGAATTCTTTTCCTCGGCTTCTAAAATTTTTCGTTTCAAATCTTCATTTTCACTTTCCAAAGAAGCCTGTTTGCTCAAACTCCCTTCAAATTCACTCTTCAAGGATGTGGATTGCTCCCCAGCTTCAGTCATACTTTCCTCCAAAATCTTAATTTTCTCAAGCAAAGATTGAACTTCAGAATCCTTGTTGTTGAACTTTTCTATAGCTTCTTGGAGTTTCTGTTCTGAATCTCTCGTCAGAGATTCATGTAACAATTGAAGTTTTGAGTGTCTTGCGGTAGTCTGCTCTACATCTCTTCCTCTTACTTCAAGATTTTCTTCAGAAGCTTGAAGTTTATCTTTTAGCTCGCTCTCTCTCAATTCAGCAGCCTTGAGATCATTTTCAGTACTTTGCAATTTAACTTGTGTAAGATTTAAATCATTCCTCAAAATTTCAAGTAGGTTTTCTTTCTCGGCGAGCTTCTCATTCAAACTGTTTGAAGCATCTTCTAACCTTTTCTTTTCATCTGTCACTGCACTCAAAGAATCTTCTAATTCCTTTTCCCTTTCATTAACTGCTTGCAGTGTAAGTTCAAGACTTGAGCTTCGTGCCTGAAATGCCTCAAGTTCTGATGTCAGATTAGACACATCATCAAGGTGTTTATTAGCTTGTGCTTCTGAACTGCTGCATTTCTCTTCTAATGCGCCTATTTGTTGCTCAAGTTCCTGAATTCTGTATTTCTCCGCTTCAAGTAACAACTCCAACTCACTAACCTTTTTATCAGCATCTTCCAATTTGGAGTGAGAGCTCTGGAATAAATCTTCCAGTTCTCTGCTACGCTGATGATTCATTGTGGCTCGGTCTTCATGCTCAGAACATTTGTTGTTGACTATCTTCAGCTCTTCCTCTAATTGTGAACTCTGCATAGATGATTGATTTAAATCTGATTCAAGTTGGCTAATCTTTTCCGTGTACTCCTGCAGTTGGCTATTAAGAAGATTCTTTTCTTCTTCAGCCTCTTCCCATTTAGCATTGAGATTCGATATTTTCTCAGATAATTCAGTTACTTCTCGCTCAGCATCACTGGTTTTCAATTGTACCAAGTTTAATTGTTGCTCAAGCTCCACACTCCTCTGCTCGGCTGCTATGAAACGCGCTTCTAGCTCCCTCAGCTGTGACTTAGCCTCTTCTGCAGCTGCATTTGAAGCTTGAATATTTCCCTCAAGTTCAATACTCCTTTGAGTAGCAGTAGCTGCAGCTGCTCCAGATTCATTATGCAGGTCTTCCAAAGACTTCACCTTCTGCTCAAGCTCTGCATTGTTTGAAAGTGCCTGAGATAAAAGAGAATCTGTTTTAAGAAAATTTTTGTCCGAAAGCTTTAGCTTTTCCTCTAAATCAGAGCACAATTCTTCCAGCTTCTTTGCATTATGGGTTAGATCTTCCACTGTAGCTTCGAAACTTTCTTTTCCTGTTTTGAGTTTAGTCAGTTCCTCTTGTACAGTGAGAAACTGTGCCTCCTGACTCTTGAATGCAGCTTCAACTGATTCCCTCAATTTTTCCTCCTCCTGCAATTTGAGCCTTGCAGTTTCCAACTCAGAATTTTTTTCTTGCAGTTCTTCCTTTGTAGAGGCAAATAGATTTTGAAGTGCTGATATGTCTTCTTTTATCTGTGTTTCTGAAGTCTTTATCAGGTTTAATTCTTGGGTCAACTCATCCACTAAAGAGTCCTTTGAAGACAGTCTTTTCTCAACTTCCAATAGCTGGGATTTTGAGAGTGTCAACTCTTCTTGGACGGAAGAGAGTTCTGCTGCAGTTGTTTTAAGGGCTTCTTCAACCTTTTGATTTTCAGCAATCTTGTCATAAACTCCCTTCAATTCTTCCTTTAGGGAAGCCATCTCGTCTTCCATTCCTTTTGCACTCAATTTGGCTTCTTCAAGTAGCCTCTCAAATTCTAAGGCCTTCTTTCCCTCAGACTCAGCATGTGAACCACTTTGCTTATGCAGCTCCTCAAACTTCTGCGCCTCATCTACCGAATATTGCAGCTCATGCTGCAATTCCTGCATCCTCTTTCTGGATTTTTCAAGCTCAAGGTTCATCCCATCAAACGCTTCTTTCACTTGAAACAGCTCTTTCTGTTTCACTTCTTGACTTTGCAGTGCCTCTTCAAGAGTGCTGAGCTGAAGATTATATTTATTCTCGGCTTCAATAATCTGCTCTTGCAATTTCTTGTGACTTAATTCAAGTTCTTCATGTTTCTTTCCACTTTCCTCCAATTTCTCTTTTGTAACTGAGATCTCTCCCTTCAGCTGAGTATTTTCATGCTCAGAGGTCTTCAAAGATTGTGCTAGTCTTTGGAGTTCAACCTCAAGTTCCTGTATCTTCTCTTGTGCTTCTAGAAATTCTCTGCTTGGAGGATCTGAGCTTCTTTCGGTTTTATGGGACTTATCATCTATGGCATTCTCTTCTTTCTCAACTTTAATGAATTCACCGTCAAAGGCACTTTCTTCCTCTTCTTTCTTTACTTCACTTATTACTTGAGGCAAGTCTCCATTTGTTTCCTGCAAAAAATAATTAAAAATAAAATAAAATAAAATATGTACACTAACCATTATAGTTTGTACTAGAAAATTCTTTCTATAATACTATCAATAGACGAGTGAGCAATTCACATCTATGCATGTTGACCTATTTGACTTAATGAAAATCGTCTGTTAAGAGCTACATGCTCCAATCTTGAGCTCTTGGCTAATGGATTAAGCATCCATCCAGCAAGTGTTCACATTGTTGATCTAATAATATACGTAAACAAAAGCAGCTGTCCAAAGCTGCAGATTTTTCATCTCAACCAAATTCATAAGTGCCTGCCTGTATTGAGTGCAGAGTTATAAATTTTATTTGATGAACTGAGTATAATAGTCCATGTGGTGATCAACTTAAAAACAAATACTATGCCCTGTTTGGGTAAACTTCTACACGAGTCTTCCTAGAAGAAAAAAGTTAATATAAAAAATGAATTAAACTTCTCTCAGAAGTTAGAAATAATTTATCTCTTCAAAATTTAAAAATATTAAATGCGAGAGCTTCTCAAAAAATGAAGAAGCATTAGTTATTTTTAACTCATGAAAAAAGTTTTATTTATTTTTATACTGATTTTTTTCCTGCTATAAGAACTTCTCTAGAATTTTACTCAAACTAGGCTTATATTAAAGTATCAACTAAATGAAGCATCATACGCCAAGTACATGTTATGATAAGAATGGATTGTCCTATCAAAAAAGTGAATAGAAGTTCCAAGCAATTGGATTCCACAAAAATATACAGTTGGAGTTAGGAAGCCTACTAATCATTGTGATAACAATAACACTGAAAGATATGCGAAAAAGAAACTTTAGAAGGCAATGATACCTTAATGCTTTCACTCTTATGATCCACCTCCTCAACAACCTTTGTCACTGGAACTTCTGAAATGACTTTTGTCTCTTCTTCCATGTTTGCTTTCTCTTATTCACTGCTTCACAAGAGAAAAAAAAAGAGGATTGTAGCTGTAGTTAATGGGATAGACTTGGTGGTTGTTGTAGGGAAACTTCATTCACAGTACCTTTAAACTATATTTGAAAGTTGTGTTTAGGAGAAGTGACGAGTTAGGAGGGGTTAACTTTGTTTGGGAGTCACTTAATTAAGAAAAAAAAAGTTTGAAGGTCTAAACTCTCTAAAGCCCTTTTAACACTAAAGTTTTTTATTCAGTGTTTTTTCTTTCATGATTAGGATTCTAATTTTTTTAAAATGTTGTATGGAACAGAAAGAATATAATCATCATCATTATAACATACAAATAAAAACATTAAGCTTTACCACAAAAAATAAAATTACGTCTCAAACGTAAGTGTTCTGAAAGTCAAGACGTTGCTGCTTAGCAGAATCTATAACAAGTGTATCAATTAGCTCGCATTGTGCACAAGATACTAATATCTGAATCACACAAATACTAATATCAAATTTCAAGGCCACCCTCATTTGTAAATTCTTTGATAGTTTCTCCACATGACACAATAAATTAGTTCACGAATACAAAATTTATATGAAAAAATGTCACTTGTTAAAATTTTCTCCTATAAATAAATCAACCTTCCCTAATGAAATAATATATAATTTTTTTCCTAATCGCACCATGCACATGGATCAATAATAAGTAACCTTACCTTACGTTTGCAACAAATTCCATAACTCAAGCCAGTGACTTTGAGTTCGAGGGAAGAATGTGATTAAAAATAGATAATCAAAACTTTATAGTATTTTTAGACATCAAGATTCTTGTTCCTCCAATTAAAATGTTTCAGGGGAGTGGGAGTATCTACCACTGTATCACAAATCTGAAGAGGAATTGGAGACATAGCAACTTGCACAAAAAAAAAAGTAGTTTTTATTTAATACCTTCCAAAATCCTACCATTACATGGAATAAAAATTGAACTCAGGACCTAGCTCAACTGTACAGAATAGGATGTCATTTGGACAGAAAAAAAAACCAGTGAGTTTTAATAAAATAAACACCGTCAAATGATAAATCAATAAATCTGGTCAATAATTCGTAAAAAGAAGTTGCTAAGACGGCCATTTGTAGAACATTATAAGAAAATATAGATGGGTCTATCTCGGTTCAGGGGGCAAAAATTAAAAATATAACTTCAGATATCTAACCCAATCTTCTTGCACTTTCTGCATTAAACGGAAAGAGAATAACACAACAAAGAGCACTCGGTTGCATCACTTAGAATATAAAAAGAATAATTCGATTTTGAACACGGAAAATCTAAAAACTCAAAAATGTATATATTGAATTAATCAATTATAAATAGTTACATAAAATTCTTTTCTTTATATTTATATATATACACACAGAGGAAAGAATCTCTTGCAAACACGAATGGAAAAAGTAGTGGTGACAAGAATCATTATTAATTAATTACAATTGCAAGAGATATGAAGATGGAAGATGGAAGATGGCATGTAGAAGGGCATGCATGTGGGCCCATAAATGCTGTGTTACAGCTTGATCTCACACATAAGACATTTCCCTGTCCACCATCGATGCCATGACTCTATTCTTTTTCTTTTCCTATTTTTCTATTTTTCTTACTTTTTTCCAAAAAATCAAATCTACCATTTAATTTTCCACCATGGAAGAAGATTGCATCTGGAACGTTGGTAAGACATGGACATCATGGGACCCAAATATCTAACATTCAAACATAAAAAATGAATCAACCCGGAATTTGCCAGAATAAACTTTATTACCTGTGATGTATGTATGAGTGGACCCACTTTTCATAGTTAGCTACTACGCCCCCACCAAACCCCTTCTTTTTTATATCGTATATATCATATTTACTCATTTTTAAAAATTATAAATAACTTTGTATACACCAAAGTTAAAGCGCGTCAATTGCCCCCTTTTCCCTAATGGTAAATCCATAAATTCATAATCATCTGCGCTCTTCACGTTATTACTTTCTTGATTTGGAATTGACTTTTTTTTATTTTAATCAATTTTAAAATATACTATTATTTAATTAATTCTATTTAACTATTAAAAAATTCTTATAATGATATTACTAAATTATTTTAGGGAACTAAGAATAAATTGTTATATTTGTTTATAGCTTACTCTTGTGGAAAAAAATTGACCACAAAAATAATTTTTTTAATTTTTAATAGAATTTCCAAATTCCTTAAAACAGAATCCTCCTTAGTTGCAAAAGACAAACCTGGTAAAAGTGAAGGACAGATCCGTGTTTTACCAAAAAAAGTAGGGGTAGTTGTGAACTTTAAGAATCGCAAAATTGCGAACAAAAGTGAAGCTGGCAGAGGCTGAGATTCCTGAGAGACTTTCAAAGCACATTGGCACTTTGGGAAAACTACCGTTTTTCTCTTGTTTTTGAATTAAATAAAATTTTCTATCTTCTGCCCTCATCCTTTCTTAAGCAGTATTAAAAGTACATAAAGTTACATTTGAATGTCTTTATGTATAGTATAGTATATATACCATTAAAGTTATATAACGTATATTAAAAAGAAATCACCACCTAACGCCTAAAAGCCAGGACACAAGAATCAAATTAAAGAAAAGCTTCTTAGATTGATAGTGATTCGGTCTTTTTTTCTTTCTTTTTGTTAACTAAATTCTATAGAAACGTTTCAGCAGAAACGGGTGATACTTCAACAAAGATCGATCTCCAGATCAGGGATGATGATCAAAACCATTGCTGGATACAATCAGAGCAATCATTGTTATACATATCTTAGACTAAAAAAGTTGAGCTTTTAAATGAATAGGAATTAGAGATGAAAATTGAAAATTAAACTAAGCCCATCGCATAACTGATCAACCCCAATAAGAAAATAATGATCGGATGAAAGATGCAACTCAAGTGTTTCCGATCAGAGTGAACCATTTAAAAAAAACCAACACAAAGTAATGAGCAAGCAAGCGACAACAATTAATCATGTGGAGCAAAATACATGCAGAACAGATTCTGATCCACAGAATAACAATCAGGTATCAAAAGATCAAAGAGACAGATAAGATGACACGAGAAGAAGAATCAAAACAGCACACAGCGCTTTCAACATTGATCATTCAGCAAAAATACAACAGAAGAAAGAAATTAAATAAAGGGTATCTAAAAACATAGGTCCAAAGCTGGAAGAGTGGCTGGTCAATTAAATTCAGCAAAATAAACTGACACACACACCCACACATGAACAAGGAAAAGAAAAAGGGAGAAAGAAATCTTGCCTGAGAAAAGTTGAATTGCTTTGGTTTGGAGAAAACGTTAACTGTTGTTTCAGTCTAAGAAAATTAAAAATGGGAAATGGAGTAGTGAAGGTGGCGATGATGGAACTTGAGAAAAATGGAAGAAGAAAGAGAGAGAATGAGAGTATATAAGTTAAAGAAGAGACCATCTTTCCTTTTTTTTTTTTGGAGCATTGAGACAAAGGTCGTGGGGCCCATTAACAGCCAATTCGGCACAGAAGCGGGTCGGAACGCCGCTTGTTTTGATATTGCCACCGTTTTTTCATTTATTTACCAAACCGTACCTCATTCATTCATAGCACATCGGATTTTCTTTCTTCTAAAATAATAAATAATAAATCAGATTATGAGGATTTTGTCAGGTGTGTTTCGTTTTGAGTTAACAAAAATAATTTTTAAAAGTTATTATATAATAAATTAACAAATATTTTTTGTATCGTTTGAATTAGTATAAAAATAGCTTAAGTATTTTTCACCAAAAAAAAAAAAGCTTAAGTTTGTAAAAAATAAAAAGCATGAACAGGAACTTAAAATGAAAAAATGAAAATTAATTAAAACCGATATTTAACAGAGAAAAAAGAAACTATGGAAAAAAAATTAAAAACAAATATTATAAGAGTTTAATTTAAATACATTGATGATATAAATTTTATATTATTAATTAATTAAAAATATGAAAAGTATATTTTAAAATTACACGATATGTCGAGGGCAAAAGTCTGATATGAGACTTTTTATTTTGAAAAAATTGAGGAATCAAAGCTATAATCTTAGAGTTAATGATTTTTAAACAGTCACTTCTTAATCACTGACACAAATTCAAGCCATCAACTTCAGTTTTATAAAATGTAAAATATCCGATTCTAAGGATCCTTGTAACATTTGTTATAAATAAATAAATTATTAAAAACTGAAAATAAAATAATTTTTATGTTTTAGTTCATAATAACTGATATAAACCAATTTCATCGATTTGATTTTTAAAAAAGTTATTTGAATGGAAGGATTCGGTTACTAAAATGTATTTGGCTTGTGATTTAGAATTTAATTAATATATATTGATAATATGTTATTTGATTGTAAATTGACAAATAATTTAATTTTTATAATTATTATTTGTTAAAAATATATTTATGATGGTTTCTATTTAATTGATAGTATAATTTTTTATAAAAAGAATCATAAATAAACTAAAAATTTGTAATAGAGTCATCATAAAAGTCAACATTGGATATAATTTGGGATATAAAAAATAACATGATAAAAGTTTGATGAATTTATGTTGGAACTTCAATTAATTTCCCTATGAAAATAAAAGAGGCTTTAAAAATTGCATGTAACAGAAAATCAAATTACTTTAAGCATGCACAGCCTGACTTTAAATGTTATTCACCTTAGATGATAGAAAATAAAGATATTGATTTTTCATTCAAATCCCTAATGAAAGAATGAAAAACATTAATTCCGTAATAATAATTTAAGAATTTTAATAAAAGATAATTTATCTGATGACTTTTTTCTATAAAACTACTTAAAATAGGTGCAATAATTAATAAAAGATTATATAAGCGACGGAAGATTTTGTAAGAAATAACACCAGAAGGTAAAATTTGTGTTTTAAATAAATATATTTAAAATTAATATTTTTTTAAAATATAAATATAAATTAATATATTAACATAAATTTAATATATTTATTATAATAAATTATATATAATTTTTTAATTTAAAAATAAAAAATATGATTTTTTTTTCCTTATAAAAATCCTTCCCAATCTAGCCTTGGTTTAGTTATTCAGTTTCGAATGATTGGTATAGTTTTTAATATACATGTACGTGTGTTGTTAAACTAGCATGCTATGATAAGTTTGTTTTAAAATATCAGAAAAATATAAAAGAATTGTTTGACAATACCATTCTAGTCTTCTAGTTTGTAATTATTTTCCTGATACTTTTTTAGTTCATCAGAAATTATAGTTTGAAATTCAAAATGCAAATAATTATAATTTTTTTAATCTTTTATGTACACAAATTTTTATTAAATAAAAACTATTAAATTCTCCAAACAATTAGTTTGAAAATACCATTGTAGTCTTCTATTAGAAATTTTAATTTGAAATTAAAAGGATATAATTGATTATTGAAGAAAAGAAAAAGTAATGGCTTTTTGGTCTCAAAGTGGCGGCCACAGACAACCGACCAAGCCGCCCTCCCTATTTGTGCAAACATGACGACTGTTGTCTTTTCTGTGAAAGAATCAAAATGTCTTCGCTGTTCCTACCCATTTTAAAACTCCATTCCTCACTTTGCCTTACAAAATCATTCAACATTTTTATTTTTTAAATATTCAATATATTCATTTTTATTATTTATAATTATTTATATATATATAGTATTTAAAAATTACATACACTGAGATATTTTTTAAAAACATTACCAAAGTATGAGATTTAAAGATTCTAAATAACAATTTTTAGTACAAATACACAAATTTAAAGATAAAAAATTAAAAAATGATGAAGTTTCAAAAAATTTTAATGATGGTTTTTTTTTTTAAATATAAAAAAACTAAAATTTATTACTGATAATTTTTAAAATAATAATAAAATATTTTAAAAAAAAGTCAAAAGTTGTTATTGGTGAATAACGGGTAATTTTGAAAAAAAATATATTTTTATAATTTTATAAAAATCTCATATTTTTGTAATAAAAAAAACTATATATAAAATAGCTTAATATTTAAATTATCTATTTTTAAGAAAATTAGCTATACATGCTAAAAATTTAATTGAATTAGGACAGTTTAAAAGTATGTGTAATTAAAATCATTTTTTTTAAATATGTTTAGACCATATATTGTTATTATTGTTATATTAAAATTTAATATTTTTAAAAAATATATAATTAAATTTTCAATTAATAATTTATTTAAATATTTGTTATGATGTGGCATTCAAATAGAATTGCAATTTACATCAAAATTTTGAAAATATTAAAGCATGCCTTAAAACAAAAAAGATACATATAAAACTAATTGGTCAAATGTATCCAACATAAAGCTCGAGGTTGATCCTTTATTGAATGGGTTGACATTTATAAGTTTGTAAATTTCAATTTATTCAATTTATATGTAGCATTTCAACGATTAAGTCAAATATATAAAATAAATAATAATAATAAATACATAAATTTTATTACATATAAATATAGACACGGAATTAAATAACATATCGAATTTATAAAACAATAGTTATCAACTCAATTATTAGTTCACGTGTTATTATTATATAATTATATATATATTGTATAAATTTTCTGTTTTAAACAAATTTACGCCAATATTTATAAATATGTAATTTATATTAATTATATTTTTAATATCATGTTATATGTTAAAAATAAAATAAGACGATAGAATATCAATTAACTTTTAAATTATGTACAAATGAGTAAAACTAATTCATTTAAAAAATTAAATTTAATAGTTAAGTCGATAAAAATTTAATAATTATTAAAAAATTATAATTTTATTAATCTTAATCTTTAAAATTTAGTTTAAACATTTAAAATTAAGATTTTTTGTTAAAAAATAAATTTAAATAAAAACTATTGAAAAAATTTGATAAAACTTTGCTGTTATTACTTGTTTAAACTTAACTTTTAAACTGAAATTAATAAAGTTAAAAAATTAATAAATGTGTTATTTTTTTAAAGCAGTTCTAATAATTTTGAAAGTAATATTATTTGATCCTTTGTCTTAAATTCATTATGTAATAACACTATTTTTTTAATCAAAATTTTAAGAATATAATTAAAAATAATTTGTATTTAAAAGCATTTGAATTTATTTTTACCCTAGAAACTACAAAGTAGGCATTGTACAGTGTGCACATCTTTTGACAAATCTTAAGAAAATATCAACTTTATCAATCGATTATTGCAAATTAAATTAAAATATTATTTAAATGTAAAGTTACGAAAAATTAGACGAATGTTTTATTTTTATTTTATGTTATAATTTTTACGTTAAATTGAGATATAACTTAATTTTATTAAGTTTTTAAACTGTAAGAGGATAATCATTTCCGTACACAAGGTGTTATGGAATGAAGCTAAGAACATTCTAAATTTAAGATTAGCAAGTGATTTTATCAAAATTTTATGTACAAACTAAGATAAATTAAGTTATACTAATTTAATACTCACTTCTACATTGTTAATAACTAAATATAAAAAATTATTTTAATTAATATAATTGTTGAATTATAATTATATATTATCTAGATTATTTATGTTAAATTTTATTAAAATTAAACATTTATAAAATTGTTATCAAAGGTTCCTCATTTTTTATAAATATCAAAAGTATATATTTCATTTATTTTTTATACACGAATAAGGTGTCAAATAATTTTGAATTAATATAAAATTTTACATATATAATTTATATGATTGAAGTTTTTAATCTAACAATTAATTTTATAATTAAATTATCTAAAAATATTTAAATATAATTTACATTAGTGTGTGTGTATATATATATATATACTTAGACGAAATTTTGACTATTTGTAAAAAAAAAAAAATAATTAGTTCTGTATCAATGAAACCTTATTGTTCTTAAAGAATTGGTGTGTAATATATACATGTCTTAAAATTGAAAATATAAAAATATATATTTTTTCATATAAAAGTACATTTGTATATAATCAATTAACTAAGACTTTATTTAAAAATAAAATTTAAGAAGGAAATGCTTATTTAATTAAAATCTTTATTTAGAATTTTTCAAACTAAGAAGTTTTTTTTTTTTAATTTATCTTTCATTTTCCTTCTTTTTCTTCTATTATTCTTATCTTTCAAATGCCTTCTTTTTCTCTTCATGTGACTCTAAATTGTGAAACAAAGTTATATTGAAGTTTTTAATAATCTTTAATTACTTTAAAAATAACGTGTGAATATCTTATAAAATTTCAGAACATTAAATGTTTCTTTTATCTAATTTCAGCCATTTCAGATAATTATAAGAATATATTTAATTTTAATACACTATTAAAATTCTTTTTTCAACATCAATTGATAAAAATACACAAAAATATAATTTTTCAAATAATTAATTACAATAGTTAAAATCTTTTACTAATATTATCATCTCATTGATATTTTTCATATTTTATTTATTGAAAATACAATGAAACAAAGTGAAAGTTTTAAAAAATAATATTACTAATTTTCTAAAACAATAGATGACGGAAAACACTGTTTATCATCTAAAACCACAAATACTTTTAAATAAAAAAGAATATGCCATGATTCCTTTTGAAATAAATGCACTTTTTATTATTGGTTTTCAAATAAATAATGAAAACGTTAAATTTTTTTTATATTTTTAATTATTAAATGTGTTTAATTATTTGTATCTAACTTCATAAAAAAATATAGTGTTTAAGAGAGAGGAATAAATAAAAAATATAAAAGCCGATTAAATCTGTGAACTGTTAGTTACTAGCGGGTTCCGGTTGACAGATGAAAAATAGTTTATCTGCCGTAAAAAGGGTACTGCAGAGTAGAAGCATATCTTATCTTATCCTTTCATATATTGACAATCACATAAAAATAATAATAAAAGAAAAAAGGAAAAGTAGTTTGAGTTTGAGTAACGAGTTGTGATTAGAGAAAGAAAAAGGAAACCCAGAAATCAGATAGATATATAAATGGATGCGATGCAAATAGCTCTGCCAATTGTGGGAATTGTTGCGGCTGCGGCTGTGACCTTTTATGCAGTAAGCTTTTCTGAGCTTAGAGAGGTATGCAACATTAACCATTTACTATGCCTTATCTGTATAAAAATGATAGTAAATTTGAAATTGCTACATTGGTGCAGAAATCATTTAGAGATTTGGAAGAATCTGAAAATGAAAATGAAGGTTATAGGCCATCCCCTAGCTCCCGAGAGAGGCGTGCTAGAAGACAAGCTAACAAAAATAGCACAAAAAGTTAACAAGATTGATTGAATCATCTCTCCTTTTGCCAAGGTGTGGAATTGCTTTCCACCACCGTCTTTCTATCTTTTAAGGATCGAAATGAGATGTACTTACTTGTCTATTAAGTTCGGTTGCCTTTCATTTTCTTGTGTTCTGCTAATTAATTCATATTTATTATGCTGCCATTATAAACCCCAACTTTCGTTTGCTATTCAGTGGGGTGTTTAACCAATGAATAGCGTTGTTATGCCGTTATGTATGTGGTGATAATGATCCAACCTTTTTCTATTCCAGTTTAGTCGGACTTGGATTAAGATGTACTCGCAAATTATAATGGGTGCAAATTTATGTCACAATTGAAACTATTATAAAATCACTGCACTTTTTTTTTTGTCAGAAACTCATTGCAGACCAGCTAACATTATCGATCATCATTTTAAACTAATATTTTTGCATTTTCACGTCTCATTTTCCTTTTGCTATTATATTCTTTTTTTATTGATTCCTTTCTTTTTTATTTTATTATTTATCATATTTTTTTTTCTTTTTTATCCATTCTTCCGCCAATCACGAGTGTGAAAATATGATAATTTGAGAACACGTGAATAGCCAAACTTGGATTTAGTTAGATTGGAAGTTTTATCATGGATTTATATTCCATTTTTAGAGTCAACATTATATTAGCCCGTTTTTATACGTACAACTTTCTAATTTTCTTCTCCTCTACAAAGAATAAGAAAAATATTATTTATCTTTATAAATGATTGCAAAAAATATTACCGTTTCCAAAGGTTTGTATTAAATTAGTAAAAAGAAAATTCAAATGTTATTTCATAATTTTTATAATTATTTTAAAACAATTTTTTAAAAATGTGATATTTTTACAATTATTTATAAATAAAAAAAGTTTTTTCACACACTAAATGGTCCCTTGAAGAGAAACCGACCTACTCCACCATCAACGGTTAAACAGGTACCACTCCATCGTCCTCAATTTATTAAGTCCTTAGGTACAATTTTGACTAAATTGTAAAAAGGAATCAAAGGTCGTTGATTTATCTCACTTATCACTTTTGATTATAAGCCGGCTTTTTTAATTATTTTTTGTCAACAAGCCAAGCTAAACTCAGCTTGGTTTCCTCCACCAGCGCATTCTAAGCACGTGTATACGATATTTAACTCTAGTATAAAATAGGATGCAACTAGGATAATCAATTTAACTGACATTTACAATAACGAAAAGGTTGGAACAAAGCTGTGTCGAAAGTGATTTGCCTGGCAAGTTATTACAATGAACAATTCCTCTTCACCCGAAGGCAGGCGCTACAGAGCTTATTATGCCATCATCGGCCTCAGCTACTCGCGCTGAGACTTGAGCTCCTGTACCTTTTTTTCCGTATCTTTTAAAGCTTTCCCATAAATATTGATTAACTGGGGAGAAAAACAAATGCATATCTAAAACTTCTAAACAAATTTTAGTTTGAAGTAATTAATAACTACGTTATAGCATCAGGCGACACAAATTGCAAAATATATACTGAATAACAACAAAAATGAGGGAGGAAAATATATAGTCCTGAGCTATATTATTGTGTGTAAAATATAGACACAACTTGATGTTCAATCAGTGAGGAAACACATAATAAGTATGAACCTTACAAATTAATCAAGCAATTTGGGTAACTACATTCAATTGATTTTTCTCGTAAAAAGTTTCCCCTTTGTGGAATTAATAGAGGTATGGAACTACTAAGTAGTTTTGGGACTGATTTTTTTATATGGGAAAATTTTGTATTAGTTACCAAAATATAGGAATTTGGGGTCAAATACAGAAATATAAGATTTCTTAAAGATCGCTAATGGCATTTTTAAATGTAAAAAATTTAGATAAAAGCAAAAATCACCTTTTAAACCTGTGAAAATATTTTTTATGTAGATTAATAATTTAAATATGGCTTTTGAGTGTGTAAAGTACCACAATATGGTACTTTCGGACATAATTATCCATATATACTTTTCAAACATCGCCATTAACATTTTTTTTACCAAATCTTAAGGTTGCAACTTGCAACAGAGACTAGAGAAAGGTCACCTCCATGAAAGGTGAATGACATTTTTTTGGCAACTCTAAAATACGAAAAGACCGTGGTGAAGTCACATCAGTGGCAGTAAAAAAATAAGTCCCTGAAGCCAATAACATTAAAGTTACACATACCAATGATCGTTTGTCATAGTATCTCCAACCTAAACATTTTATATGTTTTTGCATCTTCCCTTGTGTTAATCAAGGAACATCAAAGTTTTAAAAAATTTTAGTGAAAAACATAACACAAAGTAGATCGCTATTTTTGCTTTTAGAAGCTTAACCATATTAATAATCACATAATATTTCTAGTTAATGATTATACCCTCAAGCACTATCCATATTACAATAACATATTTATCCATAACATGCATGATTACTAAGGCGAAAAGCTTAACTCATTACTAAAGCATATTGGAGAAGATGATTTTCAGGGTGTATTAGCCTGTTGCGGATCCTCCTTAAGAAAATGTTCCAAGGTAAGCTATTTACACATAGAAAATCGTCTTCTCTACTTTGTAATCATGCACATGTTATAGATAAAAATATTATTGTAATTTAAATAATACTTAATGGTATAACTAATAACTAGAGTTATTATAGGATGAATCCTATGTGCAGCCAAAAGCAAAGGTGATACTTTGCCTTATGTTATATTTCTTATTAAAAATTTTAAATACTTTGCTATTTCCTTTTATCAACATGAGAAGAAAAATGCAGAAAGATATAAAATGTTTGGGGAGGGGATATTATCACAATTAATTACTGTTGTTGAAATCTACCTCAATGTGTATAACTTCATTGTTGTGACCTCACCCTGGTCTTCTGCGTGCTTTACAGTTGCGAAAAAATAGTGTTTTTTGAAAAGTCCATATATGGATAATTATACCAAAAACACCATATTCTAGTACTTTATACACTCAAATGCCATTTCTAAATTATTAATCATAGTTTTGGGTGTGGCCAATTTTTTTTTTTCAACTTATGACAATTTAATCTGCCCCCTCAAATAAAAATACATGTGTGTTTACCACCCCATATAAATTTTTCTAGTTCGGCTAGCATTGAGGTTTCTAAGAAAGTCCCAGGACAATTAAATAGACAAAGTGTGCCTCTCCACAATTGTATTCATTACGATGATAATGTAAGGTTTTTTCGGTCAAAAGCAGATGGGAACGTGACTTGTGAAAATAGATGAAATTTTCTTTTAATTTTGATACGTGGCAAAAACAGATGGAAAGGTTATTCATGAAGTTACCTCTTCAATTTCTTGTGGAGACATAATTAACGGTGGAGACATCATGATGTTATCTCCCGCTACACGAACTAACATCCCATGCTTCTCACATTGTGCTCCAAAATAGGCGGCTACTCCTGTAGTGTAGACATCATGATGTCACAACATACTATTGAAAATATGCCCACAACCACATAAAAAGCAGTATAAGGCTCGTTTAATGGCATGCAACAAATAATTTGCAAAATAGAAGTAGCCAAGATGACTATCTAATCCATCATATGATCTAATAACAAATTTATCTCCCATCTTCTATAGATTCTAAACATGAAAAGGATGCGTCTCACGTAATGTCCGCAGATAGCTTAAGGGTATTGATGTGTAGCTGTTTACTAGAATTTGTAGTTATATATGCTACATAAATTGCAGTAAAGATCACTAGAAATGATAAAATAGACGTGTTTAGACAAGTATGGTAATTTGACAAAGACAAAGATGAAAACAGAGTATTGAACTTGCCCCATTCAGAAGGAAACGGATCATTAGGTGACTTGTTGTCTGTGAACTCAGTGCCCAAAATCAAGCCATTTCCCCGAATCTGCAGATCCAGTAATCTTAATGTTTGTCATGCATTTATATTTACCCAAAAGAAAATTACCGAGCAAATAATATACACCTCTCCAATGATGGGACTATCAGAAAAAGCTTTTATGCCATCTTGAAACCTTGGGGAGATCTTGTTCACGTGGTCAACAATATTTCTTTCCCTGAGAAGAGCGTAATCATACTTCATAAGCAAAAGATGATATATACTAGCGGATAGAACAAACTTCAGAAAAGTTTTTAAAAGCTAGAAAAAAAAGAAACACACTTATAGATCTTGAGTGCTTCAATTGCAACAGCACAGGCTGCAGGGTGTCCAGAATAGGTAAACCCATGAGAAAATGAACCTAAAATAAACAAACACATGTCAGAATACTAAGCCTGAAGATATAGTGATGATTCTGATGGATTAATGGACCAGCATACCAAGTTTGCTGCTTTGTGAGTGTATAACTTCTGAAACTTCTGGGCTTACAAGGACTGCTCCAATTGGCAAATATGCAGAAGAAAGTGCCTAGAAGTCAGACAGAAAAATTAGAAACATTTTACAAACTTTGAAAAATATGAGGACAATCTGTGCTCGGAGCTGTTTCATATTTACCTTAGCCAGGGACACAAGGTCTGGCTTAATGTTGTACTTGTCAGATCCAAACATTGTCCCAAGCCTTCCAAAGGCACAGATTACCTTCAAAAGAGACATAAAGCATTGCAATCAGAATGGACAACTTCACTACAGAATACCCTATATAACAGTAAGTGAAGAATCATGGAAGGCAGTACCTCATCTGCAATAAAAAGAATATCATACTTCTTGACAACAGCTTGGACCTGCATAAGAATTAAATGCTATGAGAAAAAAAGGTTGTACTTTTCCTCTTTAATTCCATTCATATTCTCTTACAAATCTTTGAAAACATGAAACAAAATGAAAACATGACACTACTGTAAATAAAATTTGGAAGTAAAAAATGAAAAAAAAATACATTTTCAAATCTCCCATAAGATTATGAGGATGGTGGGAGCATGCATAATTATGCAGACAACAGTAGAGATTCAGAGATAATTTATAATTATGCATTCATTCCTTTGGGACTGGGAATACAAATGAAATGCTTTATTAATGAAAAACACATAAAATCAATCCTCTTGGCATGATGGCATCCATCTTGAAAATATATAACTCTGTTTGACGCAATGATGATGTGAAAATACCTTTTCAAAATAAGTTGCAGGCGGAGGTATTACACCTCCTGCCCCCATCACTGGTTCAGCAATAAATGCGGCAATCTGTAATTAAAAAATCATTTAAGTCACTGCCAAAATCAATGTTCCAGTAGCAAAAATCACTTTCAATGCATATCACTGTATTACTGTCTCTGGTCCCTCTTTCAGAATCAGCTCCTCCAAATTGTTGGCCAATCTGGTTGAAAATTCTTCCTCCGTCTCACCTGAGATGTTCATAACCACACATAATATTTATGCCTTAAAATAAGTGTCTAAAATATTACTAGAAACATGTCCATCCAAATAATAACCTGGAAGATGATAGCGCCAGTAATGTGGACAGTCAGTGTGCAAGACAAAAGGAGCTGGCAAATCAAATTTTTGATGCAGAGCGGGCAGGCTGAAAACCATTGTTTAATTCAATAAAAAAATTATGAGCGTAAAACTGTTCTACATAAGCACTAATTTTCTGAACAAGAAAAATCTTGAATTTTTCATACCCAGAAAGACTGGCCGATATCAAGGTTGAACCATGATACCTAACAACAAAAAAAAAAAAAAAAAAAAGAGAGTAAGCTATCATGCATAATTAACAGCTGTTAGATAAAACACCACTGGTTAAGATGTCATGAGTACGATTTAGCACGAGCAATGAATTTCTTCTTATCTGGTCTTCCAAGTGCATTGTTATAATACCATACAAGTTTCACCTGAAAGAAAATATGTGAAGGTGAAATATATCAAATATATTCTGCATAAAATATGTGTTAGGCAAGGAGCCCGCTGGACCATTATTATTTTCCTAAAAAAATCTGCTGCTATATTTATTTCTTATTATAAATTAGGAACAGTACTCAGCCTATTAATTGTATATATTTAGGATTCCTAATTTAGGTTGTACAAATCAGGAATTAGGATCAATTGTCATTAAATAGTTGTAAATGCTATGTATTATTTATGGAGATGAATAGAGAGAAGGAAAAAGGCAGAAAAGCCAAACTTTTGACATGGTATCACGAGTCTTCTTGACAGAGACGTGAGCTTTTCCAGTTTTGTGTTCGCACTTGATTCTTGGTTCCTGGGTCTGCTTTGCTCACGATTCGTGGTTCTTGCACTTTGCTTCTTGGGTCTGTGTTCGCGTGTGCTCTTGGTTCGTTCTTGTAACCCTCTCGTTCGAGGTTTGTGTTTCCGTTCTTGGTTCTTGTCCCCTTTTATTTTTGGGCACGGGCTCTTGGCCTTTTTTTTTTTCTCTGTTTTCATGATTACGGAGAATCTTTGTGTTCGGTTTAACGGCAAAAAACTATGCCGCTTGGGAGTTTCAGTTCAAGATGTTTGTGAAAGGAAAAGGAATGTGGGGACATGTCGATGGGTCCTCCTCTAAACCCACGGCCATGGCTGAGTTGGCTGCTTGGGAGACGAAGGATGCCCAGGTTATTTCTTGGCTTTTGGGGTCCATTGAGCCTCTAATGGTCAATAACTTGCATTCATTTTCTACGGCCACAGACATGTGGGACTATCTCAAACGCATTTTCCATCGGGACCATTCTGCCAAACGTTTTCAGTTGGAATTAGACATATCCAATTACACTCAGGCAAATTTCTCTATTCAGGAATATTATTCTGGTTTCCTGAACTTGTAGGCTGAACACTCTACTATACTACATGCCGCTGTTCCGAAAAATTCTTTGGCTGCAGTACAAGAGGTTTATGAGGTCACTCAACGGGACCAATTCCTCATGAAGCTTAGACCAGAATTTGAAGCTGTACGTGCTGCTCTCTTAAATCGAAACCCACTCCCTCTTTGGATGTATGTGTTAGCGAACTGCTTAGAGAAGAACAGCGTCTTCTCACTCAAGCAGCTCTGTCCCGTGACTCTTCTGTTTCGGAAGCTATTCCTGTTGCCTATACTGCCCAAGATAAAGGCAAAGGTCGTGATACACGACAAGTTCAATGCTATTCGTGCAAACAGTTTGGTCATATTGCTCGTCATTGCACCAAGAAGTTTTGCAACTATTGTAAGCAACGTGGCCATATCATCACGGACTGTCCCACTAGACCACAACGGCGCCAATTTCAAGCTTTTCATGCGGCTAGTTCCATGACTGAGACACCCAATTCTGTCCCAACCCATGCTGATGCGTTAACTCCAGAGAAGGTCCAGCAAATGGTGCTTTCAGCATTATCTACCTTAGGCATCCAGGGTAAGTCTAATGATATATCTTCAACATGGTTTGTTGATTCTGGAGCCTCCAATCATATGGCTGGTACCTCTGAACATTTAAACAATGTTTGCACTTATAATGGCACTCAAAACATTCAGATTGCTGATGGTAATACGCTTTCAATCACCGCTGTTGGTGATATTACTCCTTCCTTTCGTAATGTCTTTGTGTCTCCTGGACTTGTTTCTAATTTAATCTCGGTTGGACAATTGGTGGATGACAATTGCAATATTAATTTCTCTCGGGCTGGTTGTGTTGTGCAAGATCAGGTGTCGGGGAAAGTGATCGCGAAGGGGCCTAAAGTGGGCAGATTATTTCCACTCAAGTTTACTTTACCTAGATTTTTGTCCTTCAATTGTACTAGTGTCCCAAATAAGTATGAGGATTGGCACAAAAAGTTGGGTTACCCAAATTCAGTTGTTTTGTCTCATCTACTGAAAAATGGTTTCTTAAGCAATAAAATTATCATTCCTGGTTCTTCCTTTAACTATTCTGTATGCAAACTTGCTAAAAGCAAAACCCTCCCATTTCCCTCTAATGCTCATCGTGCTAACAAACGTTTCGACATTATTCACAGTGATGTTTGGGGTATATCGCCTGTCTTATCACATGCTAAGTACAAGTATTTTGTGACATTTATTGATGATTATAGCCGCTTTACTTGGATTTATTTTCTCCGTTCTAAAGATGAAGTTTTCTCAATGTTCAAGATGTTTTTGGCCTACATTGAGAATCAATTCCACACTAGCATTAAGATTTTACGCACTGATTCTGGTGGCGAATATATTTCTGCTGCGTTTCAGGAGTACTTGCACCAAAAAGGCATTATTTTCTAACGTTCATGCCCATATACGCCTCAACAAAATGGCGTTGCAGAACGAAAGAATAGACACTTGCTTGATGTCACACGAGCATTACTTCTTCAAGCTTCAGTACCTTCTCATTTCTGGGTTGAGGCATTGACCATTGCTGTCTACTTGATCAATCGCCTTCCCTCCCAGGTTCTTGGCCTCGATTCTCCTTTCTTTCGTCTTTATACCATACAGCCGAGTTATGATGATCTTCACCCTTTTGGCTGTGTATGTTTTGTCCACCTTTCACCTTCGGAACGTCACAAACTTGGGGCTCAGTCTGTCCAATGTGCTTTTATGGGTTATGGTACCACTCAAAAGGGTTTCTTGTGTTATGATGTTGTTGCCCAGCGTTTACGTATCTCTCGGAATGTGGTTTTCTTTGATCATCAAGATTTCTTTCCATTTGTTTCTCCTGATGCTAATGGTTTTGCTACTCTTCCTACCTTTCCTAAGGTCTCTCATGCTACAAAATGGTTTAAACCAGGCTATGTATATACTAGACGCCAGCCTGCCCCGCCCCTTCTCAACTCTGAACCGTCACCTGACCATACGCCAATAGTGCCTCGTCGATCCAGTCGTACTTCTTGTCCACCGGATAGGTATGGTTACTCCCCTACTTCTCTTACTGCCACTTTATCTACCATTCCTATTCCTACATGCTATTCACAGGCTATTAAGGATGTGTGTTGGGTCAAAGCTATGCAAGAGGAGTTGCAGGCACTTCAGGAGAATCATACTTGAGAAATTGTTACATGCTCCCCTAGTGTCAAACCCATTGGCTATAAATGGGTGTATTCTGTGAAACTTAATTCTGATGGTTCTTTTAATCGTTACAAGGCTCGATTGGTTGCCTTGGGTAACAAACAAGAATATGGAGTGAGTTATGATGAGACATTTGCACTTGTGGCTAAAATGACTACTGTCCGCACTGTCCTATCTATTGCTGCCTCCAAAGGCTGGTCTCTCTATCAAATAGATGTGAAGAATGCCTTTCTACATGGTGACCTAGCTAAAGATATTTATATGAACCCTCCACAAGGTTTGTTTTCTTCTTCTCTCGGTGTATGCAAACTCAAACGTTCTTTATATGGTCTGAGGCAAGCCCCACGGACATGGTTTGAAAAGTTTCGGACTACTCTCCTTGGATTTTCTTTTACTCAAAGTCGATATGATTCTTCTTTATTTATTCAAACCACCACAGCTGGTATTATTCTTCTTCTTCTTTATGTTGATGATATGGTCATTACTGGTTCTGATCATGCGTCAATACAGCAACTTCAAGCTTCTTTTCATATGAAGGATCTAGGCAATCTTCACTATTTTTTGGGTCTTGAGGTTCATTCTCATCCCAAAGGTCTCTTTCTTCATCAACACAAGTATACTGATGATTTGATCTCTTTGGCTGGTCTCCAATCTGCTGCTCCTGTGGATACTCCTCTTGAAGTTAATATCGAATTTCTTCGTGATGAAGGTGACATTCTACCTAATCCTTTGTTGTATCGTCAGTTAGTAGGCAGTCTTAATTATTTGACTATTACACATCCTGACATCTCCTTTGCAGTCCAGCAGGTTAGCCAATTTATGCACACTCCTCGCCACCTTCACCTAGCTGCTGTCTGACGTATCATTCGTTACTTGAAAAGTACTTCTCAGCGGGGGTTGTTCTTTCACACTGGGACGTCTCTTAATTTGGTGGGTTATAGTGATGCTGATTGGACAGGCTGCCCAGATACTCAAAGATCTGTCACAGGTTGGTGCCTGTTTCTTGGTTCTGCGCTTATTTCTTGGAAGAGCAAAAAGCAAGCCTGGGCAGCGTAGTCAAAATCGCGATCTTACACGTAAGATCGGACGATTTCACGAGCTTTTGCAGCGCCTCCGATCCCGTTCCTGCCCTGCGACGCGATTTTTCAAGATCGTTGGGATCGCACGATCTTCCTCGTGAAATCGTGGAAGCGTGCGATCCTGGACGAGTTTGGTGGAGCCCCATATTCTTTAAAAAACCCGATTACCCGATTTGACCCAGCCTTTTTTTTTTACCCGACTTATTTAATCTTAGATGTTAGGGTTTTTTTTTTTTCGTTCTTCCCTTTTCGCTGCCCCTTTCTCCACGACGCAGTGTTTTCTTCCTCAACACAGGCGACGACGACCCAAAGTTTTCTTCCTCAACACTGCTGCCGACTGCGACCCAAAGTTCGTCAGCACCGCCGACCGCGACCCAAAGTCTTCTTCCTCAGTTCCCAACCCACACTCTCTTCTTCTTCAGCACACTTCCCTTCTTTCTTAGACTCACGACGCACATTTCTCTTCTCCAATACAGCGAATCTGTTTTCCCCATTCTCTGTCCTGTTTGAAGATGTCTGCACGTGGAAAAAGTATACCTGCAATCCAGAGAGGGCAACCAGAAAGTAGGAGAGTGGTTGCAAGTTCTACCATTGGTCACACTTCTACTGGCTCAGTGAGCTGCACTGTTGGTGCAGTTGTGGCCTGTTCTTTGCGAAAAAATGCTCCTGGAAACAGGAGTGATGTGGCATGGCAACATGGATCATCTGTGGATGGAGATGCACGAAAAATTCAGTGTAACTATTGTCGAAAATTAATAACTGGTGGAGTTTACCGATTAAAACATCATCTGGCTGGAACACAAAAAGATGTGGGTGCTTGCTCTTCGGTTAGTGATGAAGTGAGGAGAGAAATGTGGCTCGTTGTATCCTCCTTACAAGAGAAATTAATGAAGAAATCAAATAGCAAACTCAACGAACTTCTTGGAGAAGGTGATGGTGGGAGTGATTCTGGTGAAAAAAGAAAAGGGGGTGAAGTTGAGGGCAGTGAGAACATTTTCAAGAAGAAAGGAGTAAGTAATCAAGTCACTCTCAATAACATATTCAAAAAAAAAATTGAGAGAGGAAGTGTGTCAAGATATTGCTTCTTTTTTTTACAACAATGCCATACCATTCAATGTGGCAAGGAGTGAAAAATTTAATAAGATGTTGGAATCGGTGACAAAATATGGGCTTGGATTCAAGCCACCTTCCTATCATGAAATCAGAGTCAAGTATTTGAAACATCATGTGAATTTGACCACGCAAGCTATTGAAGCACATAGAGAAGAATGGAGAAAAACAGGATGTACAATAATGACGGATGGCTGGACCGACAAGAAAAGGAGAACTATATTGAATTTTTTAGTTAATAGCCCTATGGGTACAGTATTTTTGACTTCAATTGATGCATCTCATATATCTAAAACAGCTGATAAATTGTTTAAAATGATGGATGACATTGTAGAGGAGGTTGGTGAAGAAAACGTGGTTCAAATTGTAACTGACAATGCAGCAAATTATAAGGCTGCATGTGAATTGTTGATGGAGAAAAGGAAGAAATTGTATTGGACACCATGTGCTGCTCACTGTATAGATTTGATATTGGAAGATCTGGAGAAGAAGTTACCTATTCATCAAGAGACAATCTCAAAGGGGAAAAAAATTACGACTTATATTTATTCAAGGACTTCCCTAATTTCTTTATTGCAATTCTTCACAAAGGGAAGGGATTTGGTGAGACCAGCCATGACTCGCTTTGCTACGTCTTATCTTACTTTGGGATGTCTTCAAGAGCATAAGGGAGCATTGGTTAGAATGTTCACATCTGATCAATGGAAGACTAGCCGGTTTGCTAAATCAACAGACGGAAAGTTTGTTGAAGATGTGATTATGGATAAAACTTTTTGGAAAGGTGTTGTTGTTTGCTTAAGAGGTGCATATCCTATAATCAAAGTTCTTCGTTTGGTTGATTCGGATGAGATTCCAGCTATGGGATTCCTTTATGAGGAAATGGACCGAGCTAAAGAGAAGATAGCAAAGGCCTTCAATGAGAGTAAAAAAAGGTAAATAAATTATTAAATTTAATTAAAAATTTTAGTTATTTTTTTTTGAAAATTAATTTAATTTTTTTCATATATTAGTTATCTCCCTCTATGGAATGTCATTGATGAAAGATGGGACAATCAACTCCATAGGCCATTGCATGCTGCAGCTTATTACCTCAACCCTTTTTTACACTACAGTCCTGGTTTTAAAGTAGATTTTGAAGTTAAACGTGGATTATATGATTGTATAGAAAGGATGGTAGAAAATGATGAAGAAATGACTAAAATTGATGCTCAACTTGAAGATTTCAAGGCAAAAAAGAAATTTTTTGGTGGCAAGGCAGCCCTAAATGCACTTAAAACTAATATCAAAACTCCAGCACAATGGTGGAAATCTTATGGAGATGGACATCCAGAGCTTCAAAGATTTGCTATTCGTATATTGAGCTTGACATGTAGCTCCTCTGGATGTGAGCGTAATTGGAGTGCTTTTGAGATGGTAAGATTTTAAAACTATGATAAATTACATTCTTTCTCTTTACCTATTAAAAACTAGCAAATAATCAATTGTATTTATATATTTTTTAGGTCCACACAAAGAGACGAAATCGTTTGAAACAACAAACTATGAATGATGTTGTTTATGTGATGGCTAACTCAAAATTGGCCAAGAAAAAGACATCCAGAAAAGCTATGGAGTTTAATCTTGATGATCTTTCATCTGATGATGAATGGATTATGGCCAATGAAAGTTCATCCAATGGTGATGATTTAGAAGTTGATGACTTATTGGACTTGGATTTGAATCCAAATGAACACTTAGGTCAAGTTGGAAATGATTCCAATGATGTTGATGATGATCCTATAAATTTAGATGATTTAGAGATTCCTCCTTTTGATGATGATCTTGATGGAGTTGGAGATGAAGAAAATGAAGACCTAATAGAAGATGATTATTATGATCAAAACTTGAATGATTTGTTAGAGTAAAAAATACCAATGTTGGACACTTTGACTAGTTTGTTTTTACTTTAGTACTATTGAGTTTTATGTGTAATTTGACTTGAGAATATATTTATTGTCATTAATGTTTGAGTTGTGATTGTCTTTTATGAATTTAAGACTATTGGTTCCTTATTTATCTTCTTTTTTGTATGCATTTGTATGTTTAAATATAGTTTTATACATTAGGTAGGATCTTACGATCCACTCTACGATCCTACGAGTTACGTGTTTTCCTTTCCCTTCCGATCCTAAGTAGGATCTCGATTTTGACTACCTTGAGCCCGGGTCTCTAAGTCTTCCACCGAGTCTGAATATCGTGTTATGTCTCTAACCTACTCTGAAATTATTTGGCTTCGTGGTCTTTTAGCTGAGCTTGGCTTCCCTCAAAACGATGCTACACCTCTCTATGCTGACAATACTAGCGCCATTCAGATTGCTACCAATCCAGTCTTCCATGAACGCACCAAACATATTGAAGTGGATTGTCATTCTATCCGTGAGGCTCTTGATACTCATATTGTCTCTCTTCCCCACATTACCTCGCAACTTCAGCTTGCGAATATTCTTACTAAGGCTGTTCCTCGTCCTCGACATCAGTTTCTTGTTAACAAATTGATGCTCCTTGACCACTCGCATCAATTTGAGGGGGGATGTTAGGCAAGGAGTCCGCTGGACCATTATTATTTTCCTAAAAAAATCTGCTGCTATATTTATTTCTTATTATAAATTAGGAATAGTACTCAGCCTATTAATTGTATATATTTAGGATTCCTAATTTAGGTTGTACAAATCAGGAATTAGGATCAATTGTCATTAAATAGTTGTAAATGCTACGTATTATTTATGGAGATGAATAGAGAGAAGGAAAAAGGCAGAAAAGCCAAACTTTTGACAATATGTACCTCAACAATATGTTGACATGACATATATTCATTTTCATTTTGTTTATTGCTTTGCTTAAACCATGATAAAGATGGATCTATATTTATTTAAAGAACCACATTTGCCATTGAGAATTGGCATCAGATATTTTCAGTACTTGATTGCTCCTAGATTTTCCCTCTTGGTGGTTCCTGTTGCATGCATTTTGTGGAGTCTACTGTAATGATTCTAAAACTTTGTTTAGCTCAAGAAGTAAACACATTCTAAACATCTACCTTATAATTAAATGAAAATTTTCAGAAGAAAATATGAGACTCTAACAAATCAAGGGGATATTAATCTATCAAACCTGAGTGTCGTTAGCTTCAGATCCACTATTAACGAAAAAAGCTTTTGCCATTTTTCTGGCAGTGAACATTTCTAGGAGTTCCTTGGCTAGATCCTGTGTACATCACAAGTAAATATCGAATAAAAAATTGACTAATGCACATCACAAGTAAGGTGCTTAATCAATTATTTATTTAGTAATTTGCAGTGAAAGCCGCCTCTTTGTATGAGGTGGATTAGGATAGGTTAAAAACTATACAGTTTCATCTCTCCACTGTCCCAACTCCTCCACCCTCCAAATAAATGGAGAACACTTCCTTCTGAGAGATGGACAAACAACCTCTCCTCCCCCTAAGAAATGAAAATGTGCTGGACTTTAATCCATTAGAATGTAAACAGCACCATAACCAGTGATCAACAAGCGTTAACAGCCATCCTGAAGGCAATTTTCCAACACTCAATGGCAACAAATTTGAACACCAACTATCAATTTTGAGATTTTACCCAAAATCTTTATTTCATCTTCAGTTTAAAACTAGCCGTTGATAACATTGAAAGTTGCAACAGGAAAATACTGCACCTACAAAGCTCATTAACATAAAAAAGAACTAAGTGTCCAACATTTTAATCTCAAGGTAAGGGAGATTATTTTTTAAAAATAAAGAAAATGACAGGGTAGTTTAAGTATCTTTAACCAGAATGTTCTAAACTATAAATGAATCAAATGTCCAGCTGTAAAGTAGAAGTATTGAGCCCCAATTCCCTCTGTATTTCATTATAAAAAGTAAAACAAATGAAAGAAAGAAATAATATAAATCTATACGAGAAATAAACGTGCCGAAAATATTGTTTGGGTATGCAATTAGTGACATGAAAAATAAACATCGAAAAAATAATGTTTGGGTATGCTACTACAGAATAATATGAATACCAAAGAAGGTCTTGTGGTCCGATTCCAAAAGGAATGGTAAAATGGCAACTTCTTTAACTGTACCATGGCAGCATCAACAAGGCGTGGCTCACTTCCCCCTGCAAAATAACATATATTCAATTTCAGAGTAAATTACCATCATGCATAAAAAGATTAACCATTAAAAAATTACATTATTTACAGCTTTCATGTGTGAATATACCCCACAATTACGTACCTGTATAATTAATAGCTAATAAAATATTTTAATTATGATCACATTTTTTGCAATTTATCAAAAATTCAAATTTCCGGATAAAATCAACCCTCTGTCTGTAAAAATGATGCGGCCTGTTAGTCAAACAGAGACCAAGAAGGCGTAGGATCCAGAGATGGCAGCAGTCGCATAGAGGAAAAATACACCAGAAAACTTAATTTACCTATTGCCTGGCAAAGGTGTATGGAAGCAACAGTAGGAGGGGAAAACTAAAATTTCAGAGGCCAGAATATGGGTACGGTGTACAGCCAGTGGGACGGGCAGATTCATGACAAAGACCTTGAGGACTAGGAGAATGGCAGTGAAAGAGTCCCACACTGTTGGGGAATTTGGCGGCAAAGACGGTAAGAGGTCATCATGGATGGTACCGCTATGGTATCATGTATACACACAGAATATTTGGGTAAAATTTACTGCACATCGGTCTCTTGTTTATCGTATGGATACAAACAAAGAGATAATTGCAAAATAATTTACAGCAATCCAATAATACAGTTAACAGTACGAACATAAATTCAAAGATTCTATAATTATCTGACAGAAAATTAACAAAATATTTATTTATTTTACTATTTCAAAACTATACTTTAAGAAAACCACAAACTCCTTCCACCTTAAAAAACCCAGTCATTTTCCAATATAATTTTATTATTATTAAGCTCAAGCAATCAGCATGAAAAGTATTAACACTAAAACTTTACATTATTCAACAACAAACCAACCCCACACGTACTGAAAATATAAAACCTTCCATGACCTTACTGATCATTTCTTCCAATTAATAAACTCAAGTATATCTTTTGAATACCCTAAAGTTCAATATCCAGGGCATTCTGCAAAAGTAGTCACAACGGCTCTGCCCCTTGTCCTTGTTACCAATAAAAAAAGTGTTTTAGATTAAATAATTGTGGGGGGGGGAGGAGAAGGACCCCAAGCAACTTAAGCATAATTTGGTGGTTAGTTGAAGAGAGAGCATGCTAAAATATCAAATATATATATATATATAGTAGTTAAAATTATAGCCGTTCTAGTTTCTCAAGATGGATTGAGAACATGAACCAGACGAAAATATACCATTCAGAAAAATAAAATGCAGAGTAGATATCACACATACCTAGAGCAGTGCACCATAGACCAGCAAGTGCGTCAAGATATTTCTTCCCATTAATGTCATATACATAGCTTCCCTGAATCATTAATCAGGTAAATAACATAATTAAAAAGCTAATTATTCTTTAAATATTTAAACCTAAAACAAAGGGAATCATGATTTCCTAAATATATTACATTACGGTAATTAAAAAAATCACAGAAAAATAGCAAGGAAGTTAACCTCTGACTTTTCTATAATCAGAGGATTCAAATCAGTAGTTTGCCACCCAGCTGTGAAAGGGGCAAGCATATCATGGCCCTTGAACCTGAGACAATTGAAGTGCATCAGCAATTTTATACATGGTAGCCATATAAGGCTAGAAAATTTAAACTTGGAACTGATTTTTCATTGTTTTGTTTAGAGAGAGAAAGAGAGAGAGAGAGAGAGAGCTCATACATGGACTCTACAGACGACTATCTTTTAGAATAACAGTTCTTATAACTGATAATGCAGTCAACGTACACATGATTGTATCAGAATCATAAACACTGACCCAGAGGGATGTCCCATTCATTCCCTTCTCCCTCTGGATAATAAATGGACATTTAACACCTCTGCTTTGAAATCTCAAAACAAAATTGACAATACTTAGCGCCAATTTTTTTTATTGAAGGGAATTATTGCCAAATCAAGTTCAAACGCACTGTACCAATTAAGATACAGGCAAGATTGAGATATGATCAATACACAAAAGCACACATGAGAAAGCGGTGAATGGTTATCATAGAAGTTAGAAGACCATATACCCGTTGCCATTTTTCACGTCATTAATTGAACTATCCTTTGCCAAGGAAGACTCCGTACTATTTGATCTAGACCATGAGGGAACCTGAGGGAGACTTTCCTGAAAATTTCCGGAAACTGCAGCATATGCTAAAGATGAAGCACTCTGTAAATAAAAAATAAAATAAGCATCATAAGACTAATAAAAGTTGAGTAGCAAGCAGGGACTGCTTCTGGACCATCCGTTAACATCAAATCAGATAAATAAAATAGCATACGAGGTACATCATCACTAAGAATACAGCATCGCAAATAGGCAACCAACATTTCAAAATTCTGGACTGCAACCTTGGGAAAAATACTAAATTGCTTCCTATTCAGAAATCACAGATACTTGAAGCCTTATATTTACCGCAAAAAACACGATCATAATTTAATGTTTCCTTAAACATATTCCACTGCGGCAAAATAAGTTATGCAGTACACTCTTTCTCGGGATACTTTTCTCAGAAAAATAGAAGCACGAACTTTAGATATTATCAGACGTATAGTTAACTCTTGGAATTCCAGAATGTGTTCCAAAGTATAAATGCCGTTATAACTATAATCGAATATTCTGATACTCCAAAAGAGAAACAGCAAAAGGTGATGAACTTTCACCGAATATATTCTAAAAAGATCCCTCGAAAACTCGGGTTTGTAAAACAAAAGTTACATTGATATAATTAATAAATCTCCATTTACATAAACTTGAATCTTGCTCAATTTCATAAGACTTTGTTCAATTCATTGATATGCACGAATTGTTTGTCGCAATCGCACGTACAAAGTCCGTTCATATAAAACAAAATAAAAATAACAACGGGAGAATCCGAGACTCAAAGTTTCATGAATCATCAATCAAACGCATAAACGCATAACAGTATTGCAATATTGGGAGACGGAAACAAGATTGGGGGAAATATTGGGAAGGAAAGATGAAGAGATGGAAGTAAAAGGAAAAATGAAAAGCATCGTGCCTTGGTCCTGAGAGTGGATCGGAGGAGCGTGTTCATGGTGGCTGAATATGGTTGGTTGTGTTGTTTTCTGAACAGAGAAACTCTCGAGAATTGTACAAAGCAGAGTTTCAAGTGACGACCTGAGACGGAGACAGTGAGACTGGCAACTGAGAAGAAATAGTGATCCGAATTATACGGCACGCGTAACGTCGAGCGCTCTTCCCTCTGTCATAACTCGCGCACAGCCCCAAACGTTTTTCTTGGTGGCTCCCACCGAACCAAAAACGACATTTTAGATACAGTAATGGCTTAATTAGACCGTATACTCATAAAGTATATGTTTTAGTTTACGTTTTAAGCTTCGTAGTTAAATTCTGCATAACGAAGTTCACGATCAAACAGATCAACTTATGACAAAATCTTTACGCAGGAAATGAAATGTTAGTCATTTAAGTTTTTCTAAATATAAAAATCAATTTATAAACATTTTAAACATAAAAAATTAAATATATACTTTAACAAATTATAATTTTTAAAAATTTTCAAAATTTAAACTTAAATATTTTAATTAGGTATTTATATAACTTTTGTTAAGACTAAACAATTAATTAAATTTATTTTTATATAATATATCAATTTTTATAATATTTTTAAAAATTATTTTTTGCATGTACAAAATAAAATATTTATTATATTTAAGATAAAAAACTTACATTGTTATTTAAAATTTTAAAAAATTAATTTTATCATATGAATAAATTTATAAGTTTTTTTAATATGATATAAATAAATAAATTTTATATGATAATTTAAAATTTTATTAATGGGTCTTTTGACTATTTTTCATTAATTCAATAAAAAATATTTAAATATATTTATACTTTTTAGTTCTATTATATTGACTAAAGAGATCAATATATTTAGATATTTTTAAATTGTAATAAAAAATTTATTATATGTGAATTATTTTTAATATTTTATTAATTATAATTATTTTTTTCTTGATTAATTTATTTATTAAATTAATAAATTTTATTAATAAATATATATATGATCTTAAACCATAAATGACATTTGACTTAAATATAAATTTTTTTAATATTTTTAAATTTTATTATTATTTTATTTTGTGATTCAATTTTAATATTTTAATATAAATTCACTATTTTTCTAATTTCTAGTTTAAAAATAGATAATAATTTGAAATAAAAAGTATAACAAATTACAATTTTTTAAAAAGTCTTTTCAATCGGTGTTTTTAGACAGTAGTTAAAAAAATTTAATAAAATGAGTTAGATTGCAATAAAAATCACGACAAAGATGTATTTATTATATTTTTAATAAACAAAATATATTTTTATTGATTTTTTAAAATATCATAAGGTTTTGTAAGTTTTAAAAAATGATTTTTTAAGTTGTATATAAAGATGTTAAAAATTAAAAAAAAATAATGAACTTTTGTTATAAATTATAGTCTTGAATATGATTAATATATTAAATTTGATAATGTTTTATATATGAATTTTTATTACATAGCTTAAGCATTCATTATATATAAAAATATAATTTTGGTCTGATTCAGCACATTCATTCGTTCATTCAATGAATTATTTGATTGGAGAATCTTTCATGATTAATTAATTAATTATTGCTAATGAAGACGCGATTACGTGGGCTTTCATCAACTGCAACGCCGTCTCTTTGTCTTTGGACGTGTTTCTTTGAAAATATACATAAAAGACAAATCTAAAGCTAAGCTTAAACAACTAATGCATTTTTTATATTTTTATTTAAAAGAAAGTAAAAAATATACTAATTATAAGACGAAGTTATTGCAAAAGATTTCAATACGTAACATATGACTCAAGAAGGTGAATTGATAGCATTAACACGTTAGTTTGTTCCTTATTTCAAAAAATATATTGTCGTTGAAAGTGCTTTAACCAGTACACAAAGAAGTAAAAAATTATTAATGAGATCTTTTTTTAAAAAATTACAAATATAATTTAATGAAAACTTTAATAAATTTTTTAAATTGCATAAAATGAAAAAAGTATAGTAATGAATCACTAAAAAAAAAATAATAAACTTAAACATCTATAATTTTGTTTGATAAAATTAATAGACAAATTATTTTCAATAATTAAATTAATTAAAACTTTTGGTGAATACTAATTGTTAAACTAGTTAGTAATCTCATTCAAGGAGACTGATTAAGCAAAAAAAAAGACATAATCTTTCACTCAATTTCATACTTGCATAAGTAGTAATTTTAATTCTCATATTCGTAATTTATAAGTACTCACATACCCATACTTGCTCCTAATTTATCTAAGAAAAAAATACTTATAAAAAAAATACTTATATAATTTCACATAAATAGCATAATAATACAAAAATTTGATACGTAACTTCAGAACAAAGTTTACGCATAAATAGAAAATAAATATTTAAAGATCACAAGTACTATGTGTATTTTAATAAATCAATTTTCTAAATTAAAATACTTAAAAATCATAAGCAAAAAATTTCATACATAATCTTCAAGATCGTTTAAAACAACCAACTCATAAACTTGAAAGTCATGTACTATTATTCTCTAAGACTTAAAAAGAAGAATATTAGTTAATTATTTATTATAATGTCAAAATAAGATATATAGTTAAGCTATTTTACCTCTTCATTAAAATCAGACTCTTTAAATAAGAACAAACACTTATCTTTTAAGTTTACATATTGCTTTAGTCTAGCAATACTAAAAGGAACTAGAACATGCAAGTACATAACAAGAATTAATTTTTATATTAACTATGTAATAATTAAATTGTATCAATTTAATTAAACGATATAAAATAGTAAGTAAAATTTTCTATTAAAATTATGAAAAATATTATTTTTATGTTAATCTTATAAAAAAATTAATTATATAGGTTTTTATATATTTAAATAACATAAATATTTATATTTAATTTTTAAACCTTTTATTTTGCATAGAAAAAATTTTTAAATAAAAAATTATAAATTAAAAGATAATTACTAAAAAAATTAAAATAGAAAATTTTTTCATTCTAAAAAATAAAATAATTATAGCTTATAAAAGAATTTTGAACTGAGTAAAAAATATAAGACATGAAATTACATAAAATAAATAATCAAATTTTTATCTTGACCAAAATTTTATAAAAGTAATCACAAAATTTTTTTAAAAATTAAAAGTGAGTTAGGTTATTGTTTTATTAAATTTTTAGTTGCTTAATTGTAAGTAAAAAATTATTTGCACAAGATTATATGAAATTAAAATAACAATAATTAAAAATACTAATAATAATTATAATAGAGTTTTAGATTTAGTTGTTAAAGACTTACTTGGTATGAAAGTTGTCAAACTTGATATTTGAATCTTTTGAGAAGTGATATATTAGATATTGATCTGTAAGTCATATTTTTAAAATATAACTCACAATAGAGTAAATTGTAGAACAATTCATATAATTATATAATTGTCAATAAATGATTATAGGAAAAATCTAGCTAAATATATAAAATATTAACTCTAATTCCTTCCCATGGTAGACTTTTGAGTTAAGACATCACTCACATATATATGCGGATTAAGTACTTAGGTATCCATACCACACCTGTCCTCATTAAAATTCGTAAATATTTTTTTATACTCATACTTATTTAGCCAATAAATACTTTATACATTAAATATAAATTTTATGAATATTCATGAAATATTTTATCCATTATTATCTCTACTCATCTCTTTATAGTGAAAAGATGTAACCCATTTATAATTATCTTTTTAGTTCGGTTTCCATCCTTAGTTAAAAGGACGTGTCTCTTCTATCAAAATTTTTATACCAAAAAAGTATTTAGTAAGTATTAAGAAAATATTTAATTATTCATTTATAGCTTAAAATATGGTAACTATTTTATTTTAAAATAAAGTGGTAAAAATTAATGATTTTATTAACTTAAACATGATATAAAATAATATTTAAAAATTTAATAAAAAATCCATTTAAATAAATAAACTTTTAAATTGGTGAAATAAATTTTAAAAAAGAACCTGTTTATCACCTTATCAAGTTTACAGTAATGGATTTGAAGTGTTGGTTTAGCGCTGCTCTAACAACCTAATCATTCAGAGGAACGGGGACCATGATGTGTCTACACGTGGGACCTACCTTTTTCACGTGATGCTGATGCTGCAGGACTCACTTTTTGAATGTTTATTTTATTTTATTTTACAACAATGCCATAAGACAAGACACTGTCATTGCGCAGTTATTTTAAATAGTCTAATTTCAACACGTATATTATTGATTATGTATTAAAAAATTTTATTTAAGTTAATATTTAAAAAATTATTTCCCAATAATCACAATTTTATAAAATTATTTTTAATTTATTTCTACAAATGATTGTGCCTAAAACCTATTACCAGGAAATTCAATATAGAGTTATCAATTTGACATAAAATATAATTTTACTTCTAATTAAATTTATTTTGAACAAAAGCATTTTTAATTTAACATTGAAAAATCTTTTTTTTTTTTTGTTAAATTAGATTTCCTTTAGCACAATTTAAATAGTTTATTGGCGTGATATTATCTGTGTATAAAGCATTGTTTAGTTATAATTATTTGTAAGGTATTATTAATCAGAATTTAGTTATAAAAAAAATAATTTCATAAAAACTATGTTAAAATATATTAAAAGTATATTTTATTTTTATTTCTTAATCAGTATTCTATTAGAATTTTCTTTAATTCTGATAGGTTTTTGTTTTGCTCTAGCTAGGCTATTCAGATGTTACGTAACGCAGAAGAAGACGTGCAGTTATTAGTTGTCCCTTACTTCGACTGGTGCGTTGAAGACATTGTTGACGAGGCGCATGAAAACGAATTAAATGATGTAATGAGTTTTGTCCTTGAATATTAATAAAATTAAGACTAGGTTTGTAGTATATTATTAAGATATTATTAGTTATTAATTAGAATTTATAATTATATAAATAAAATTATTAATAAAATTTTATTTTAATACTTAATATAGTTGTATTTATTAAAATTTTAAAAAATTGTATGGTATTAGAATTAGAATTTGATATTAAATTAAATTAAAATAATTTATGTCGATTAATTTAGGTGATAAATAATATTTTATATTTTATTTTAATAATTAAAAATTGATTTCTTTTAAAT